GGTTTCACAGTGTTAATACAGATAATTATGAATTCTAGAACATAACATTTTGAAAAATAGAAAGAGGCTATATTCTGGGACTTAAAAAGCTACTAAAACAGATGTAAAAGCATAAAACAAAAGCATGTGCTCAATTAAAGAATATACTAAAAACTAATACTGTATAGAGAGTATACTGGCGTTGAAATAAAATGTTTTAGGCATTCAAATATATAATAAATTGAATATTGACCAATACAAATAAATAATAGCTGACAGCAGAAAACCGGGGGTGCCACAAATATATCAGAAACCCTAAAGTAGGTCAAAGGTTACAGTTGACATTATCCCTATCAAACAAAGTAAAATAAAAGGAACGCTTATAATTTGTCCCCTTTTTTTACACAAAAGAGCAAAATAATTTGTCCCCTTTATTTACATAAGAGAGCAAAATGTATACATTATTGGCTGAAAAGAGAAGGCAATAATTGAGGCAAGATTTATAGAAATAAATTCTTCCTTTCTGAAACATTGAATTAAAAAGTAATGTCTAATATTAAAATATCATGTCTATGAACAAAGCGCTACCTGGGAACAATACTTGTAGGTATATATATATATATATTTATATATATATATATATATATATATATATATATATATATATATATATATATATATACTTGTATAATATATATTGTAACCAATATTATACAAATAATGAATGATTATTTGTTCAATCGTGCGAATATTTTCATGAGTTGAAAGATTAACATTCTATTCAACGAGGCGTCAGCAGAGTTGAATAGAATTAACATTAATCTTTCAACTCATGAAAATATTCGCACTATTGAACGAATGAAAACATTCATTATTTGTTTTATCAAACATTGAAGCAGATTTATGCTTTACTCCTTATATTAAAGATAAATTAAAGTTGGAGTCAAGCCTTCTCGATTACATTCAGATTGCCTTCGAGTCAGATACACGCAGGGATACACACAGGTATACGCACACGGCAGAGAGGTACACAGTCTGCATATAACCAAAAATGCACGACGCATATAACCAAAAATGCACGGTCGTGCAATATAACATCTATTGAATATCACGTGACCAACAATCCTCCAATCAAATGACAAGGATCCACGTGGGTGTTGTATAAATATATATATCATAAGTCAGTAACCCTCGTAAGTACCCTTTTTCCAATGCTGACTTAAATAAATGATAATGATGTTTATGATGATGAAGAAGAGACAGTTGTAAAGAAACAAATAATGGAATTAAAGTGCTCTTTGACGACAGTTATCAAATGAGAATTTAAAACCAAAGAACAACCGGTATATCACTTCCCTTTCATAGCTAAATGTAGAACAATGAATAGCAGACAAAATAGGCTTGGGATTGTGTCTCTAAAATGTCTCTGTATGGTGGGAACACCAAGTGAAACTGCAAATGGAAACTCTCACAGCTTCCTTATGCGCTTATTTGGAAGACATCTGCTGTCCATGTCAAGGTACATGCAAGATACCTATCCTTGCCACATGAAAGATATTAAAAGTGATAATGAGAATGAAATTTCCTGGGTAATTTCCTGTCTCCTTCTAAACAAAGTCTAAACTGAATTCATGTTATGAGCAAAGTCCTGAAACCAATATTCCCACAGCATAATTTACAACTTCTTACGGGGCATTTACACATAACCGTCCTATGCATACTCACATATTTGTGTATTATAAGATACAAAAATATGTGAACTGCATACCCTAAGGAATACCCCTGATGGTCTGTATTCCACTATTTGATTTAAACTTCATGCTGGGTCGAAGTTATGTTTAAACATTTTAAAACAACTTTCCCCTCCCCCCCCCCCCCCTCTCTCTCTCCTTTCCCTCTCTCCTTCTCCCCTAATCAACAGTCTTGCTGCACTAAAATATAACACATATGTCATATGATGAAATGAGTGAATATCCATGTCCACAAAATCAATAAGGAAAAGCCAAGAGTTGGGCACTTGCCAGTACCTTAAATTAAAATGAACAATATCATGCAACTGATGCAAGGTAAAACAACAATAAAAATGTAATCTAAATGGAATAATTCATAATAATTTGAGTAAAATAGAATAAATAATAGCGACATAACATAATGTAAAAATAAAGTATTTGATCTAAAATACTGTCTAGTTACTGTACAGCTTCACGCATATAAAATCATAAGAATGCTATCCTGACGAGAGGAAAATTTTAAATTATTATGATCATAGTATATTCCATCTGCTATGTACAATATTTAACAACACAAAATGTATATCATTGATTAATAATAGTATACTCTTAGAGGTCTTGTACCTAAACATTCAAACACTGGAATTTGCGAGTGCTTGAATTGTAAGGGTTAGATAATCAGCCTAGAATTTTACTATTTGTTTTATTGTTTTGGTTGAATTACTATAACATTTATTAAGAATAAATTGGGTTTAATCATTTCAAAATTCTTCATTCTCATGATTTGAACAATATCTTTTATTCTGTTTCTATGATTTCTGATGGAAGGGAAAACATTGGAATGATTTTCTTCTTCCTGTAACTATCCTCAATGTAACTAAGAAGGCAACTTTTAACATAAATTACGTCAAATATACAATCTAAGGAAGAGCCAGGTGGCCAGATACATACTTTGTTTTTCTATTTTGGAAATAATTAGCTCATATGAAAAAAGTGTCAGGTATCATGCCTGGCCTGGAAGCAAAGACTTAAAGACTATAGTTTTTATTAAAAAGTTCTTTAAAAATTGAAAAATAACCACATTTATGTGGATAAATCAAATGCCCTGTATGTCAAAATATCATATCTACATTCATTTCAATACCTGCTACTTCAAACACTGCTCACATTTGAAATTTAGAAACAATAAATGCAAATACATATATTCCTTGTAAGTTGGAAACCTGTTTCACATACACTTCATAAGAATACTGAACGTAAACAGAAGATTGAATAAATGAGAGGAAAAATGATCTATCTCAATCAAAACAGTTTTTAAAAAATTATTATTTTGAGTGTGAGAGACAGAAAATATCTTCTTCATGTATCAAATAAAAGAATGCTTATTGATAATTATTCTCTCAAGATGAATATATTTAGACTTTTCAACATATCTCAAAATATTATGTTTTTTCCAACAACTAAAAAACTGTTTAGAAAGAATAAGACATACATGTTACTCCTCCGCATCCTTTCAATTGACAATTCGACAAGATAGCACACCAACTCTTCATTTTTGCAAGTTATTTGAACCTCTACCAACTTGATGCTCCGTAGAAATGTTTTACAAATTTTCTCCTCTGCCACTTCTATAAGCAATTTTATACCATAGTCACATCGCCAAAGCGACTCCATACCCACTGAAAAGTGACCGATTCTTGACCATTGAAGGAAATGTACTTGTTTGTTCGGTATTTTAGTGGTCTGGTGTTGGTCTCGTTGGTGTGACTGGTGGTATTACAAACAGAATATGCAATATGATGATTGTTTTACCCGACTGCTTAGAAAGCATTATCTGCTGTTAAGTAATCAACCAGGGGACCGTCAGCTTTAAGTCCTTTTCGAGAGACTTGGTAATGAGTATTAATGCCTTACCAAAGGGCACGAGCGCATCGACTTGGTTTCGAACATGGGACCTCCCGGTTCTGAGACCACTGCTCTACCACTAAGCCATCGGACCTCCTTACAAACAGAATATGCAATATGATGATGATTGTTTTACCCGACTGTTTAGAAAGCATTATCTGCTTTTAAGTAATCAACCAGGGGACCGACAGCTTTACGTCCTCTCCGAGGGAATTGGTAATGAAGATTAATGCCTTACCAAAGGGCACGAGCGCATTGACTTGGTTTCGAACCTGGGACCTCATGGTTCTACCACTAAGCCATTGGACCTCCTTGTGTGACCTTACATGTACCTGTATATAGTTGAATTGAATATCACCCCTTGAAGATTAAATACAAATGACATGAATTGGCGGGCAAGTACTTTAAGGTGCTTCCTTAAGCCTCATTCTAACATGATGCAGTAAACCACTCAATTTATAATGCTGCAGCAATATTTATTGTAGTGTACATCACACATCTTGGTATATATCACAACAAACACATCAGTGGTCCAGTGTTCCATGCAGCTATTCCTTTTAACCCCCACACCATAGCCCATTGAAAGAGATAGTTGTGACACAAGCACACATGCACGCTGGAAGGTTGATCCATGGCGCTCCAGATAGTTTCCTCCCACATACAATCTCAATGGGAGGAAACGATTTAGATGCTCCCTGAATATGACCTCTGAACGAATGCAACTTCCATTGACATGAATTGGAATTACCTCTACTCTACTAGCTGTGCTCTACACAATTGCTTCTTGCCATGAGTGACAAGTAATATTTGTATTTCAGTGCAGGGGGGTGTTTCACAAAGATCCTAAATAGAACTTAACTCTACGTTGGACTTAAAAAATATGGAGAGCCATTTGTAGACTTAAAATGAAATATATCAAAAAGCAGAAATTAAAGTATTATAGACTTTTCATAAATTCCACATCAACAACATGAAATCTCCTTGATAATAGAAAATATGAATGAATTGAATCAACATTTTATGCCTTTAAAAATAAATTTTACAAAATATTTTCAAAGATGCTAATGGCTTTCCATAATCGTTAAGTCCAACTTAGAGATAAGCTGAACTTAGGATCTTTGTGGAACACCCCCCCCCCCAGGTTTCTTGGTAGCGGTTTACAGCATCATGTATGAACAGAACTTGACTAAGCCTGGAAGCCCATTGCTCACTTATTCCAGGCTTTTAATATATTCTCCTTTGAAGCTCGTCCACATATGACGTGGTAACACACATCAGGGTTGTTTTGTATATCCGCCCACACAATAAACAGAGAATACTTGGCAAATACATCATGAGTGAAACTCTTCAAATTAATTTATTGGCAATGTTCACTAAATACACTGTACTTCCATATGATAGAAGATAAAATGATGAATTCTTTATGTTGGTTTTAAAGCTCAACTTTGGATGGTTGTTCAGAGTCATCTGGAGTCCTGTCAACGTTCTCCTGATTTTCTTCCATTTGTTGCTGGAGTTGCTGCATCCGTTGCTGCAACTCTCTCTGCTGAGACTGTGGATCTACAACAGTCTCCTGTTGCTGTGATATATGGCTGCCACTTTGTGGACTGTCTGAAGTGGAACCTAAATGGGAAGAGGCAGCAGCATTTGAGTTGTCCATATCAACCTCTTCTTCTATATTGCCACCACTTGAAAGCTTAGTCCTACTTGATTCTTGGTTTGAATCTAACGTCACTGATTGGGCTATATGTTGGTCATCCTCCACATTATGAATAGGATTTACAGCATCATACTGTAACCTGATGTTTTCAAGTTTGATGTAATCCTGCACTACTCTGTTGATTGTCTCTTTGGGTACGTCTCCCAGCGCATCCAGCAGTTCAGCATTGACTTGGAAGTTGTTGTAGGAGTCCATCTTGTGCTTGAAGGCACTGTCTGCTCTCTGGCCCTGGAGGACCTGTCCTTCCTCCGTCTCTAGGTACTGCTTCCAGATGGTGTCAAAGGCCATCTGCAGTACGCTTGGGGACGCACTGGATTCGAAGATGGCTCCATTCCCACTCTGCTCTACACGCTCTCGGAATTCCCCATTGACATTCTTGTACTCTTTCATGATCTCCTCCAACTTGGCTTTCACGACCTCCGCGAAGTCCTCCCCGAGACCTTCAACGTTCTGCAGCTGGGACAAAACCTTGTCGATATCGCTCTTGGTAAGGGCGAAATGGGTGATCTCCTGTAGGTAATTGGAAAACTGCTGGCTGGTATCCACTGACTGGTCAACAACATTCCGGGCTGGACACTCGTACTCCTCGTCACCGTCCTCATCGTAGGTGTCATCATCAAGGTCGATGAACTGAGCCTGCTCTTCCTCCCCGACAGACGACGCCTGGGCGACGCCCTCCTCCACCTTGGCTCGGATCTGGAATGGAGAGCTGTCTGGTTCCTTGTTATGAAAGTGGGTCCAGATCTCATTCAGTTCATCTGCAGTGTGTAAGAAGAATGGGAATGATTATATTATGAGGAAGAGTTTCACATAAAAGATGGTTTAAAATTCCCAAGGAAAGAAAAACTGATCTCATTCAATTCATCTGCAGTGTGTAAAAAGAATGGGAATAGTTATATCATGAGGAAGAGATTCACAAAAAGATGGTTTAAAAGTCCCGATGAAAGAAAAAGGAAAGAAAAATTGATCAAGAGAAGGGAAGATGGGAATTAACTGTTTCATTCATTCTTTTTGAAAATAAAAACAAGAACCTTTTCAACAGTGAATCATGATGCCCAACACAACACAAAAATGCTAAAAAGTTTTTACTAACAAAATAATGTTATAAAGTCTGTTATTCCCATGTCAGAAGTACAGACTGACGTTAAATCATTTCAATTAGTTGCCCATCCCCCCCCCCTCCCCTCCCCCCACCTACAGAATATAATTCCAAAAAGTTCATCTGCTCAATAATCAAAAATTTGTTCTGGCAACATTTGTTCTAGGTTTCGCTTCATTAATAATACAGGTTTAAGGATGCTATCGCGTTTTTAGGTTATGTTTAGGGTTAGGGTTGAGGTTGGGAATTGATAAGTGTTAGAGCAGAGTAATTGCTGTGGGAGCAGAGTAATTGCTGTGGGAGTATGTGTCTTACGATACTCTAAACAGTGCTTTAAAGCCTGTCTGCACTAGTTTGGCCAGGAGGGATTAGACCTCCCTGAAAGATCACTGACAGGTGGTTATCTCATCAAATCAGCTCTCAATTTACATAGAAAAAGAAGATCATGGGGGACCAACCTGTATCGCTTAGGCATTGCTTGCTATATAGAGGGCGCAAGTAGCTATAAGTAGTGCAGTGGGGCTTTAACTCTCATGTAAAAAAACAGTTCATAAATAAATGATCAATTCAAGACCCAAACCCCTGTACTCACTGAGGGTCTTAGCCTTGTCCAGGAGAAGCACCTCGACCACTCCATGTTCCTGGATAGCATTGAGGAGTAGCTTGCCTTCCTTGGAGAACAGGAACACCATGGGGATGTTGACATCGTCCGTCCCATCTCCAGACATGGCAAACATGGCCGCCGTGTCGCTGCTGGTGTCGGGGACGTTGTCGATGACGATGCCGCCGTGGGCGCCGAACTTTTGCAGGTGCCTTGCCTGGTGGATAAAGATGTTGAGGTGGACGAGTATTCATTTTATTGGTTAGAATATCGGTGGATCAAAAATCTTTGTACTTTGATAGAACAGGGGGGAGTTTCACAAAGATCCTAATTTGAACTTATCTCTAAGTTGGACTCAACAATTATGGAAAGCCATTAGAATCTATGAAAAATATTTTGTAAAAGATATTTTAAAAGGCATGAAATGTTGATTTCAATCATTCATATTTTCTGTGATCAAGGAGATATCATGTTCTTGATGTGGGATTTATGAAAATTCTTAAATATTTAAATTTTTGTTTTTGAATATATTTTATTTTAAGACTACAGATGGCTCTCCATAATTTTTAAGTCCAACTTAGAGCTAACTTTGACCTAGGATCTTTGTGAAACACCCCCCTGGAGTATTATGGATGAAGTTCTACTATAGTCTGTAACAATGCCACTGTAAGTTCTGAATTCATGCAGGTTGCTTGCCTGGATATTTGAATGGCACAATATTGATAAAACTAGAACTGAATATAGTTGTAGATGTGGTGAAAGTTGGAAAATACATTTAGCAGTTGCTTAGGTAGTAATAGAAGACATTTCAGGAGGGTAATACTTTAAAGTGAATGTGAAGATGATATCCTAATATTTACAAAAATACTTTGAAGTAGGTATATTCTAATTACTTTGCAAACAATCTATATGAATACTTTGAACCCTGAGAACTATCATTATTTCTGACAATCTAATTTTGGCCAATATCATGTATTATTATCTATATAAGGCTTCCAAGTGGTGCAATAAATCAGTGTATTTAATATCTTTAGCGCAGTACCTGGATGACTGATCAATTATATTCTTGTATGAATATATAATTTGTAAACTGAATTGTACGAGTCTCCAGATTTTTTATTCAGCATGTTTTTTTAAAACAAAAGTTCAAACACTGACCTTATCAACAAACATGCATTCCCCTCTGGACATGATGATAATCTTGCCCTGCATGAGATGTCCATTGGTGATACCGCTACACGCTGTGAACGGATCTGCTACAACCAATTCTCCCACAGCCTGAAACAAAATAACAAATGCACATGTAGTATAATTCAAGATGCGATTCAAAGCTAATTTAGTGAAAATCAGCTGCATAAAAATTGAATACTTTTCACATCCAGCTCCATCACAGCTGATTTATGATCAAAAATGTATTTCAAAAGTATGAAGTAATGTCTAGTTTCTATTTAAAAAAAATATAGTCTCGAAGAAAAGAGAGTAAAGTAATTTGTTCGTAAATCAATCTCTATTTCATGTAATTAAACCATATTTCAATATTTGTAGACATGAAGATCAGGTTAGAGCAATGTCAAAGACAATGCCTCTATGCTCAAAATTAATTCATCCATATGCCTCAAAGCCCATTAGATTTAACACGAAGCTCGCCCTAGTATCTTGTCTCATCCATAAATACATTTTAAATGCCTTTTTTTTTTTAATAACTAGAAGGGCAATAACTCATATCACTTGAAATAGATGCTCTACTAATTTTCAAAATCCTTCTTTTAGTTCATCAAATCATGAACAGAACAGCTCCTGAATACAACCAGTCTTTAGTTCACCTCTACCAACCCACACGTACCCTCCGATCCTCCAACTCTGGTCTTCTACACATACCGCTTTCAAAGAAATCTTTGGGGGAACGAGCTTTTGCTCATGCCGGACCAGCCCTATGGAATTCACTTCCACATGAGCTGAAGAACTCTTGACTCTTCAACGTCTTTTAAGAGCAACCTTAAATCCCATTTGTTCAATTTCGCGTTTTGAAGACAGACATTCATTCATTTTTGCATTTTTGCATTTTCTTTCTTATGTAAATGTACACAATTCTTTGTCATGAAGTAATGTGTTCCCTAATATTTTGAAGCGCCTTGAGCATTTAATTAAAACGGATAATGGCGCTATATAAATCTCATGTATTATTATTATTATTACTAGCTCTCAACAGATGAGAAGCCCTCACATGATGTGATATAGCAATGCACACAAATGGACTCTAGAAAATAAAGAAAGAGTAGTAATCTTACAGCAAAGTTTTCATTGAGATCCATGCCAAACTGAGCTGGTCCAGCGGCTAGCACCATGTTCTTCAGTATGGATGGAGCCATGATCTGGACGACCCTTGGATGGTTCTCAGCAACTAAGAAGATACAACAAAATACAAACTGGAATTAAAAAAACATCTTTGTAATGTATATCATCAGCAGGCAATCGTATCTCTTTTATTCTATCTGAGTCTCTATAAGCCTTTTTGCATTCATCACCGTATCTTCACTTCATCACTGTTAAAATAAAATCCTACAATCTTTGGACAGTTTGTTGCTAGTACAGACATGTTCATTTCCCCTCTATATTTTCTGGCAATCTAAAAAAAAAGAACATGTCAAGGGTAAAACTGATTATTTGTTAAACAGACAGATGTGCATGTACCACCTAGCAAAACAAATAAGCTTCACTCAATGAGCCCGAAAAAGAGAATCTGGCATGTTTAGAGTCCCATATGTGCTGTACCATATAAAACATGGGAGGTCTTAAAGAGAAGGTTGAGTTCTGGGGAGAGGTAAACAATAAATTGTGAGCATTATCATTGTAATTATCATGCAAGTGTGGAGAAACATCAGAGAAAAATGTTCCCTGAACAGCATGGCTCTGAAGGTGTTAAATGGGTACCTGGTAGGATGCGAAAGCTAATTTGGTTTGATTAGCAATGGCGCTTGTAAAATGGCGACTAGCTGGACTGCTCCCCAGGGAGTGGAGAATGTGCATACCTTGTGTGCGTGTAAGCATGAATCCAATGACCGGGGTAATAATATATATCTGTAAAGCGCATTGAGAGGGCCTGCGGTCCTAAATGCGCTATATAAGGACGACCTATTATTATTATTATTATCTACAAAAGCCTCCATATTCTAAATATGACAAGTAACAGCTTAAAAATGAGGCCCGATTTTTATGCCAAATGTTTGTGTAGTCCCATATACATCTTTCTGTGTACATTGCTTGTTACATGTACTTTACCAAGAATGGACCAAATTTGTATCATTTTGATGACTCCAGAACCTTGCAGTGCACACCAATACTTGTATGGTACATGATCAAATTTTTCTGATCGATTCCACACCGTTTCTTTCACAATTTGCAATCACATGACCAGAACTCAACTTTATTTTTAAATGGAGAGATGTCGGGGACTAACTTCGGGCTCAGGTATGAAAAATTATATTTTATTACAACCTCTTTGACCAGTACTTTTGTCCATACTGTACCTTCTGCTTGTTGACTCTTTGAGAGCTCTATCATCTCCTGCATAAAGAGAGCACCCTCCTCCGCTGCCTGTGTTGTCACAGCCTGTAATTAAATAGTTCAGTTCAGTTTTATTTTCATTTCCAACAGAACAGTAATTTTGACAAGAAATCGGACATACAATTCAAAATTCAATAATATAATACACTTTACATGGTTTAAAGTTATGAAATAGAAAGTATACATAAATATCCAGTATAATGTTTTTTTTTTAAAGTTTTTTAAAGATAAACCTGTGGAAATGGAGGGATCCACTGAAAAGCTGAGCTTGTAAAATGTGGATCCCTCAAAATAATGACAAACATAACTTTTGTAACATGTAAATATATTGACTTGGACAAATAGTGTATGTAGATTACCAAAAACGTGGCAGAATAATAATACAATTATAAATCTGTAATTTTAAAACTTGTTACGACACATAAATGTAACGGTATATAATGTAGTGAACACTGAAAAGGTCAAAAGAGACAACGACGACTGACAGATAAGACATAAATGTATAACAATAATTTTAAAAATATATAAGACAACAGAAAATAAAGCAAGGGAGAAATGGATATATCATTTAGTGTAGAATTTATAACTGCCAAGACTAGGGACCTTCAAAAGTATAACAGCAGGCATTTAAAAGGATTATACTGTTGATTAGTCTCATAATAACATCAACTTCAGAAATCAAGTTTGATCCAGTATTCTCTAGCCAAAAGTAAAATAAAGTGTACAGTATACAGAAGCAAAACAGACTAGTGTATTGACAATAGATGTGACCAGCCCCTATCTTTCATCATTCTCGTTACAAATACTTTAGGATAGTACATATATATTTTACATTTATTTCCTTCTGAATTTATGATAATGGGACACATTTTTGAAGCAATGTGCATGAGCTAAGCTGAGCATTCCCCCCCCCCCCCCCTCCAATGTCATACAGATGACTCTATCTTTGGGCAAAGACATGAAGAAAAACATGAAGAAAAAAGAAGACTTACATTGGTAGCAGTGTGCATGAGCTGAACACGCCCATCTTTCATAGTGAGTAGTCTAATACCCATCTTATTGAGCTGCTGCATGTGATCTGGGTTCCCTGGCACAAACTCGGCAGCTTTTAGACGCGGTGCATCCGAACTAAGTTCAAACAAAGAAATAGGTTCCACACTCATAAAGCATACCTGCCAACATTTGAAAATAACAATTAGGAATGTTTAGCACGATATGCCTTCGAAAATAAGAAATCGCACTTGCAGCGGCAGCGTAACTGGCAATACCCGGTAAATCTGTACCTAAAAGCGAGAAGAAATTTGCTGCTCGATCATGCAGCCATTCAAAGCACACAATACGTGAACTATCAAATCGCGGCACATGATAAAACAAGCTTAATTTGGCTTAATTTGGCACAAAAAAAAAAGATCAATGTTTTGAAAAAACAGAATATTCTGGATTTTCAGGTTCTAGAAATCAACAAAAACGGAATATTCAGGAATTATTTGTAAGGGTTGGCAGGTATGATAAAGTCTAGTTATAAATAGAAAATTCCTGCAACATACTTCATTGAAAAAAATAGAAATCATAATGAAGCTCAATTTGTTATGCCATGAAATTTTACATCCCAATTCACAAAGAAGGTTTAAATTTTACCCATGGTTTAAACCCTCATTTACATAACTCATGTTTTAAATTAGTGCAAAATAAGCGAACCTTGCCTTGCGTGCATCTAATATTGGACCTCTGACTGTGTTCGCGATGAATGACGCGAACGTTAAAACATGGGTTATGTAAATGAAGATTTAAACCTCCTTTGTAAATTCTGGTTAATGAATCAAAAGGGATTCGCTAATTAGGCCCTGTACCATGAATATACCATTTATTATTTGAATCAATTGTAAGTTCACTCAAGTATAGCTTCAAAAGGTGCAACCATTCCATTCCAGTCAATACGATTCAGGGACTTACACAGGAGTAGCTGGCTGCTGACTGCTGGGGCACTGGGAGCTCTGGACATTTTTGGACTTTTTGAGTGGATCCCTGAGAGCTTGAGCGTAGGTGCTTCCACCTGGGAAGAGGTATTTGTGATTGGCGCAGGACCGGTCCAGCACCACGGACGTTGTTAGGCCATCATCGGTCTCGGATGTCTGCCGGGAGAATGATAAAAATATACCAGTAAATTAACATTGCTATGTTCTCTATGGTATATCTATATCAACATAACATTTTATAAAAAATAAAATAAATATCTTTTTTAAAAGGTTCTGCAATACAGGTATGAGCATCACCATCTCTTTGTTACTATTTTGTCATGCTTGAATTTGCTATAATCAAAAGCCTGTTTATTCCAGCAATGCATATACAGTAAAAACCTGTCTATAGCGACCACCCAAGGGAAACATAAAGAGTGGTCTTTGTAGACAGGTTCCTTTAGTACATGTTTCAATGAGAAACATTTTCATGGGAGACAAAAAAAATGTGGTCTTTGTAGACAGGTGGTCACTAAGGCAGGTTTGACTGTAGTACAATGTCCAAATGAACACGATATTAATCACAACCAGTGGCATAACCATGATTTAATAATAATATGACAAGAGGAAGGACAAAACAAGCAAAGTAAATCACAGAGTGAATGGTGTAATTCATTTTCACTTCCAAGACCATAAGGGAAGGAATGTGTGCATATTATTTATTCACTCCCTTCAGTTCTAAAATGATATTGCAGCATCTGCAAGAGAGCCATAGCCCCCTTTGCTGCCCCCTCTCCCCATCAATTTGTGATCAATTCCTGATTACATGGAAGAATGATGAAACATAATCGGGCAAAAATTGGTCTACTAGCATTATCTAACATTTGACTAAATTCCTCACTTGTACCCTGCACCAAACACCACACCTAGCCATAACCCAACATAAAAACCCAATATCACATCCAAAGCCCTAACCCTACATTTCTGATGATATAACTCTCATGGCTTATGTCAGTGGAGCAAATGTGGGGATCCCCCAAATCTCACCCCACACCTAACCTGAACCCTACATAAAAAACGAAATCCCCACTGAAGCCCCAACCCAAAATTTCTATATGTTGGATCCCCCCCCCCCCCCTCGAACTGGGCTTCGCTCCACAAAACTTGGCATCAGCGACAAATGACAGTCTTTGTTATAAGCTACTAAAATCCTTGTTTCTGATTGGTTATCAGTAGATTTGTCACTGATTTTTGTCATTTGTCATTGAAAAAAGGCTTTGTGAAACAGGTCTCTGACCACCTGAATCTCACCCCATTGAATTGCACGCTGGTATTGGTCTGCTCCGCCTTGAACTTGGAGAGTGAGAGGGGAAGAAGATGGGCCTCGGTGGTGAAGAGATAGTTGTCCACGTTGATGGCTAGATCTTTAGGCTCTGCAAACAGCAGGTAGAGGTATTTGAATGTCTCAGCCAACACAAAGGAATCCATCCTGAAAATATATGGGGAAGAAGCCAAATGAACATGTATTTGCATTTATTGTTTCTAAATTTCATTTGTAGCAGGTATTAAAATAAATGTAGATATGTTATTTTGACATACACTTTGTTGTGTATATCTTGTGGTCAGGGCCCTGTCTCTCAAAACTTGTAATTAAATTAAGTTACAATAATTGTTATAAGCTACTGAAATCGTGGCATTTGATTGGCTGAGAGCAAATTTGTCATGAAATTTAGCATCTGTTATTGAAAATAAGTTTAGGAAACAGGGACCGGATTCAGTTGAAATGTTGACTTTTCGTGCCATTGGCAAAAGAAGCACTTTTGTTAAAAACCAAGAGTTTGATTTTCAAAACATTGTGTACAAAACATTACCAAGATATTAAACAAAAAAACTGTTGTAAATATGGAGCAAATAATTTGAGATCGAGCACAGTAATGTCAAATGCTTGGATAGATGTTAAAGTAGTAGTGACTTATTTCATCAAGTTTCTTATCTCTACAGGTGTTAGATAAATTCAGTATGTGATGTCTCGAAACAAAGCATGATTTACATCACTCTGTCATATTGTATCTCAACTATTTACTCATTCCTGGACTTAAAATTGAAATTCATCTTCTGCTTTGAAGTGAACAATATTTTTTATGTCTTATGATAATAATAATAATCCGTTCTTGTATAGCACATAACACATTATGATATAACGTCTCTATGCGCTTCCAAAGAGCGTTGAAAATTATTACTCTAGCTTTAGCTCCGGCAGCCGTATCAGCGCACAGTGCATTTCAAGGAATAGTGCATTTCAAGGAATAATCCTACCAGGCACCCATTTACCTCACCAGGGCAGAGTGTGGCAATGGTAGAATGTACAAAGGACATAAGTGTTTTGGCAGGGATTCAAACCCAGTACCTTGTGGTTCACAGTCCGAAGACTTATCCACTGGACCACAACCCCTCTATCTTACCTATCTTCATGGCTGCCTGTCCGTACATCTTTGATGCCTGCAAAGCCACAGTGGACACGGGCATGATTCTGGAGGGCTTCAATGATGTTCTCTCCAACCTCTAAGTAGTATGGGTCACTGGTGGCCTGGTGGGAAACATTTAGAACATTCCTTGGACATTACAATGGAAAACAAGTCCCTCAGAATTTCAGCAATTGATGCCACAGGGAGCAACAGGATCTATTGTGTTGGATGCAACATATATGTAGCGGATTCAAATAACATTTTTTTGGCTCAAGCATTGATTTTGCTTGTCCGACACTTGATATTTTTGAAAGGCTAACTGACATTTTTGCTGCCAACATTTACTCCACGCTTCATTTGATCACAGGTATAGTGTCAGGTCCAGGGTTAAACATGGGAATTTGTCGCATGAAGGGAGATTGAATCCAGAACAACTTTTGCAAAGGCATAGGTTGTATAATCTTCTGAAAAAGTTTGTGGCCCAGGGACGCTGCACACCCATCAAGGTACATCATACATTTTTACGAGCATACCCTGAAGTAAATTAACATGGAACAATGGTCTTACTTGGTGGTTGACATGTGAGAAGACAAAGCTACAATGTAAGACGATGTTATGGAAGGGGGGTTCCACATTGCCCCCCCCCCCCCTCCCCACCCCTCTCTCTGTCTCTTTTATTTTCTTTCTCTCCTTCTTTCTTTTTTCCTTCCACATCGCCTCCCCCACCCCTCTCTGTCTCTTTTATTTTCTTTCTTTCCTTCTTCCTTCCACATTGCCACCTCCACCCCTCTCTGTCTCTTTTATTTTCTTTCTCTCCTTTATTCTTTCTTCCTTTCCACATCCCCTCCCCACCCCTCCGTTTCTTTCGTTTTCTTTCTTTCTTTCTTTCTTTCTTTCTTTCTTTCTTTCTTTCTTTCTTTCTTTCTTCCTCCCCCCCCCCCCCCCTCCCAATACCTTACAGATACATATAGCATACATCAAGATGGTTAACGCCAAGCACCTTACCTTGTATAGCATGTATGTGCTCTCAATAAACTCTGGCCTCAAGGGATGCTGTCCCCAATAAACATCATACTGTGGAGTGAATGCCTACAAGAAAACAAAAGTTCAGATAAATTTGATCGATGGTAATCTCATGAGCAATCATTAAACAGAACATAGAACACAGTATATGAGACATTTCAGTTCATTAAATCATTTTGGAAATCTCGGTAGAACACAACTGAGAAGGATTATCCAACTGTATCATTAATATTGTTGTCACTTATCTCAGCTCATTAAATGAGTAGACGATATCATTTTAGTTTTTCATTATATAGCCTTTTACTAATACTTGTGATGAAATCAAACGGGCAGTTATAAGATAACAACGTTACTTTGATTATAGGTATAAACCAATTAGGATTAACAACAAACACTGTCAGTTTTTTCTTACCTCTGGAAGAAAGTTATGTCTCTGTGTGACCTGGTACAGCATTTCATGTGTCTCTATAGCTGGCTCAATATCACCAAATAGAACCTGAACAAAACAAAAAAATGTTACATCTTGAAATTAAAAAAAAAAAACAATTACAAACTCCCCTGTCAAATCTATTGACACAATAATTATGAATAGGTATTCTTCAAAGTAAATTGGATCAGATATAAAACAGCAGCAGCCTTCCCAACATCAGTGTTTGCAAATGAGGCTAAAACAATTTCCCTGAAGGGAAAGTGAAAAGCAATCGGGTCAGAGAAGAACTATGAAAACTTTTTACTCTCATTCAACATATATCGCTGATCATAAAAATATATGACACTACACTGTTAACTTTAAAGCATTCAATTGTTAACAAAACATGACTAAATAATTTTATACTTGATAGATATAAAAGTCTATGAAAGAAGACAGAAAGAAAACAGCAGAAAACTTGTAAAAATGTACAACAAAAGTGTTATGCAGGAAAGTAGAAAAAAGAGAGTAGGCCTATTCTCATGACTGCCTATTTAAGCAGGGACTATTCATTATTACGATGCATTAGTTTATAAATATAATGTCCTTTTCTCTTATAACGTGTAACATTTAACAATCCATTTTAAAATTCATTTTACAATTCATTTTCAATTTTAGGCGTTCTTTTGCCTGTGTGACATAAGAGAATTTTAACAGGAATTAATAATTTATGACTTCTAGTGTTCGGTTTTTGTAAACATTCAGGTGGTGAAAACAGGTGGTGGAAATAGGTGCATATTATTGGCTTGTTACTTCTCTTCGTTTAGTGTATTTCTTTTTCTTTTTGTTCTCCCTTTTTTTCTGTATTCTACTTTAGTGAACTCCAAACAATTATTCATCAAATTACTGCCGTCGTAATTTTGATTGTGTACTTCTCTCTACAGTAAACATTTTCTGTCCCTGTCATTTGTTCAAGTCTCCCAGGAACCTATTCTTTACAAGCTCTGCTTTTCTATAGGTTCCTGCACATTTTACAGTTTGTACTTTTGTCTGGGTTTTCCTTTAAATGATATAAGTTGTCAAACAATTGTGATGACATGTAACTTTGTTAAATTACTATAATCATTTTTTTTTAATTATGAAACAATATGTCTTTTATGTATATTTTGTTATCTGTATTATATTTGTGAAATATATGTGAAATGTGAAACCAATAAACTCAAACTCAAAACTCAAGAGTAAGAGATACATTAATAAAAATACATACAACCATATATAGCGCCTTTACATTAACATGCTCAAAGCGCTTTACATTAGAAAATAAAACAGAATAAGTATTTATAATCAAAACTGACCTGTAGACCTGGCCAGAATGCAAGGAGAGAGTCCATAAAGTTTCTTGACCTTGCATGGGGGCGGTGCATCTGGACATCCATGAGGAGTGGACCGTCGCTTATATAGCGCTGTATAGCTTCATAATGCTGTCAATCAAGGCAGAGAATAATATGTCAGAGAGTTTCACACGAGATAATTGAGGAGAAAAAGTTTTATCATGTCGAGGGGTCAGTGACACAAAGATGTAACTCCATTTTGAGAAAAAGTGGTTTAAAGATAGAGGTCCACTTGGGCCTTAAGGAGTTAAGTGTATGTTTCACTAGCCATTGACTTTAATGGAGTGTTGGGTGGAGTTAAGTCTTTGTGTTTCCCTGGAAAGCTCACATTTTGTATGAACATTTTGATATCAAATACTCATTTTGGCAAAATATGGAGTTACATCTTTGTGTCACTGAACTCTTGATGTAGTGTAACTTTGTATTTGCCATGGACTGACACCCTGGGATCAGTTTCACAAAGCCTTTTTTCAATGACAAATGTCAACAATCAGTGACGAATCTGATGATAACCAATCAGAAGCAAGGATTTCACAAGTTTATATAAACAAAAACTGTCCTTTGCCACTGATGACAAGTTTTGTGAAATGGGGCCCTGGACTGCCACATTGTTTGGAGTAGTATATTAAGCTATTGGTTACTGAATTCTCCCATTCCCATAGGCTTTATACAGGGACCTCCTGGTTTCCCATAGGCAAGGGGTTAAACATGTTTACTGTATGTGTGAAAAATGTTGACACTGATATTAAACTATTTGTTTCCATTGGTTGACCTTAGACAGTAAATAGTTATAACTAACTTGGGATTATATAAGTAGGAAATGATGATAAAATATCTTGTTTACACAGGGTAGCCTCATGAGTATTCATACTGTTCTAAATGAGGGCCATGTAATCATATTATTACCCCACCTTTAGAATAAGACTATTGGGTCTTCATTATGTATGATAAAGATTATGTATAATATACATGTATATAGAAGGTGTAACAAAAACTCTCTTTTGCCACAAGAACCAAGCCTTTTCTATACAATATACCTTCCTATCTGTAGCAACATTAATTTAATTGGAGATCATAAAACATTCTTTTTTATAGCATTTTCAAGAATACTCACTTTCAAGGATAAAGGAACCTTTTTTTTTTATTTAAAAGAACCAAGCCTTTTCTACACAATATACCTTCCTATCTGTAGCAACATTAATTTAATTGGAGATCATAAAACATTCTTTTTTATAGCAGGCTCACTTTCAAGGATAATTATATAAAGGAACCTTGTTTTTTGTGTTTCCAGGAGTCTCAACAATGCTTCCCAAGCGCGCCGCCCCCCCCCCCCCCCCCCATTTTCCTTTATTATTCATAAAACAAATTGTGTGTACTAAAACACACCCTTAATATTCACATCTCGTGGATCGAGTTACAAAAGTACATTTAGATGAAACACAGTCAGGCAAGAAAATAAGAAGGAATGGTCTGAGAAATACCAATTTTCTGTGATTTTTGAAGAACCATGTGTACACAAGTGTATGTCAAGAGGCCAACCTGTATTCTAAGCATGAATGGGAGAATGTACATGTAGAAGAATAGAACTCACTGTATTAAATTTGTCAAGATACGAGTCATCTCCGAGCAGAATGTAACCTTTTAACAAGTATTCATAGTAGGAGTCAATGCCAGCACCAACTCCACTTTCTGTTTTTTTTTTTAAAGGAGGAAAAAATATAGAATATAGAGTACATGTGAAATGGTCCAAATAATATATAGTGATAACATTATTTTGGTTCAAAGTAAAGTAGCATCTCAAAATATACAGGTAGTATAAAATGAAATATGAATATTTTATTCCTACCATCATCTCCATCAAATGCTGTAATATCATACCAAAGGATAAAAGGCCTTGTGCAATAGTGCACTAGGTGAACAGTTTATCCAAATAAATGTATATTGAATTTGAGAAAATTACAAGTTGCACACTGTTTGGCACACTTACAAATTTCTAGGGTTTAAAAAAAATAGGCAGTTTTCGTTTTTGACAGATTAAGAAGAAAAAAAACATAATTTTCACAGCCTTGTATTGTGTATTATCAGAATATTCATTTATCAAAAATATAAAAAGGAATGTTGCAAAATCTCAAAACCCTGATGAATGAATCCAAAACTAAATACATTCTACAGTAGGCTTGCGAAATAGAATACATTCTATTTATTCCTATATTCAGTATCATCTGGGATTGCATATTTGTATTATATTGTTCATGTACTTTTCTGTTATTTCCACTGTCTTAAATAAATTTTATAATGATAATCACACTTTTTATATTCATGGATTAGTAATATCAACATTATAATAATCATTAACACATGGCCTAGGTGAACCAGATTGTGCATGTATAAACTGTATGGTAATCAGAGAACTCTGCAGTCAATGGGTTAAATCAATCTCATATGACTTACCTCTCCTGACCCAATCTCCAGTGTGAATGTTAATGACGGTCCCAACTAAGTTACTTGTACGCTGCCTCTTAGACCACAGGGTCTGCATTACACTCCTCGCTTTCTCCTGCTCAGAGAGAGAGATACAAAAAGAGATAGGGAGTGTAAGAATAACACCGCCAGGAGTCAGTGGGAATGACAGAAGGGGGGGTGAGACAGGGGACAGAGAGGGAGATAAAGAGGAAGATAGAGGGAGGGGGAGGACAGAGACAGAGAGAGCAAGAACAGAGATAGTGAGAGAGAGAGAGAGAGAGAGAGAGAGAGAGAGAGAGAGAGAAGAGAGAGAGAGAGAGAGAGAGAGAGAGAGAGAGAGAGCAAAAGAGAGAAAGGACAGATATGTCAACACAGAATGAGAATGAGAGGGAAAGACAAAACAAGAGAAAGAGTGAGATATAGTGAGATAGAAAAAAGAGAGAGGAAATGATGAGAGAGAGAGGGGCAGAGAGGGAAAAGAGAGAGAGAGTTAGAGAGACACAGAGAGAGAGAGAGAGAGAGACAGAGATATAGAGATTGGTATGAAGAAAGAAAATATCAAAGGAAGAGAGAGACAGAGACAGAGAGACATAGAGAGAGATGAGCAGATAGAAAGATAAATTGAGAGACAGAGGGGATAAACAAATAAATCCGCAAAATACAGAGGTTATCAATAAAAGGTAGAAACATATTGGAGATGAGAGAGAGAGAGGAAAAAGAAATAGCAAATACAAAAGCAAAATAAGCTCATGAGGTGGTAGTACAGTATTAATTATGCACACTCAGTTAAGTACACCAGATGGCATATCTTTAAATAAATCATACTCAAAGTATGACAGACTGGGTTTATGTAAACATTTGCAGTCTCTGAGAACCCAAACACAAACAGCAGCTGGTTGAAATTCAATAGATAAGATGCAAACATACGGATGACATTTATTGTACGGTTCTGTAAGTTCTTAGCATTTTACCCATGTGCAGACTAAAACACAGATCCTTTGTAAGCTGTTTATTAAATATTTCACTCCTAGTTTCTTTCTTTTCCTTCTTTTTTCACCAATGATTAATAATAATAATAATAATAATAATAATAATAATAGTTATGGGTTCTTGTTCATATCTGTCAGACTTGACACTCCTGGCGCTCTGCAATTATTACCCAGGCCTTTAATGGCTGCTATTACGGGGCTCCAGAATTAAGAATTGTGTTTGTCAAGTTGAGAAGAGAACATGTTAGAGCTGAAATGGGAGAGTTGCATGATCTGCTGGTTTATACACTCTCATATTTTGTCTGCAGCACTACATGTAGAATGTGTTGATAAATAAAATCTTTCTGATCAATGCCTTTTTGTAGGTACATGTATATGTACATTGTAGATTTTTTTTTTCATGCAGGTCTTGGATTGAAAACTTACAAATATTAGCTCAGTGGCTTGTACAAACAGAACCACCAAGTGATCTACATGTGAACTTTAGAATTAGATTTTCAGGAAATGTAATAGTAGTGCAATATTTTAAATCTGAAACCTTATGTTGTTTAAAAAAAACTAATCACAGTATTGAACATTAATTGAAATATAACATAAAAAAACATGAATAAAGGCTTGTTCAGATATGGATAAAAGTGATGTCATAAAAGAGTCCAACTCAGTTTTGCTGTGTCATAATTGAACAAGCAAGAACCACTGTGATCATCACATACTGCCACAGTTAATTAATTTCAATTACTATCAAATATATCCCTCCCTCTTGACATGATTTATGTTTTGGGTCTCACCTCAAAGATGGGGTCACCGGAGAGGCGGCTCAGAGCAGAGAACTCGAGGAGCATGGTACCAGCACAGGCCGTACAGGTGTCTCTCTCAGGACGCCCCTTACCAAGGCCATGTTTCAGGTTCACCTGATGTAGCAAACAATGATGGAAGTATTCAATGCAAGAGGTATCATCATGTTAGAGTAAACAATTTTAAAATGTACACAAGAGATATGGATTTTAAATGTTTTTGTAAAATTCATTCTAACAAAGCTATGAATTAAAACAAAAACAAACAAACAAGTATTTCACTCTGTTCCTTCATTTTCATAATTCCTATTCCTGTTTGTAAAATATCCTAAATGACTGTGCTATGCTCAAACACTGCAGTGTGTAAGCATGTAATTGCATTTCCTATAGAATGAATTTTCACTTTACAAACTTAATGGTTGTAAGGATTCCAAATTTAAATGCTCAAATCTATTGATATTGCCATAGAGTGGGTTTAGTGCAAGTCTTTGTGATGGTGTTAAATATCCAGGGATTTAAATTAATTACTCTGAACCATCAAAACAGTTCACTTTATTCTTCAACCTTCATTCATCAGTTTGGAGCCAGAAGGGCGTTAAACACAGAGTTAATGCCCTTCTGGCTTTAAACACACAAATCATATCGTTTTTTAATAGGCACATCCAATTTACAAGTGTAAATATTAACATGCAAGTGTAAACATGGAGCTTTGGGACAAGTGCATTGGATCCATACAAGCAGGTGCAATTAAACTCCAAATCTGCACCTTCAAGTGCACATAAAAGATAATAATCCCACCCAATGGTTATTTTCAGTCTTAACATAATGCTCCCCTAATCCAATCACAATGAAATGGAGTACAAAGGACATCGTTATTAGAGCTGTAAACAGTAATTGTGACTGCTTTCTTTTCATTAAAGGCTTTTGGGGCTGCTCTACAACTGAGAAAGATATATCTGAATACATTCCGGAACCTTTACCTTTGGATATGGGACACCTGTGGATGTATTGAAGGCCGGCAGGAGACGGTAGCCTACTTCCTTGGCCATCTGAAGTAGCTCATCCTTGTACCACTCCATCACACCATGGTGTTCCTGAAGATCTAAGGCTGCCACGTGCCCTCCAAGAAGACCCCTGATGGAAGGAAAGATTTATCACGATTTGGAAAATCACTTGTCGTATTAAAAATCCTACAAAGCTTCAAATTTATTATTGGTAATCAGTATCTAGATACAAACCAAATTACACGTCCTATGTTAACTGGCTAAGTCTAATTTTTAAATTCTTACTAAACTGATCAATTTCTTTGAATTCCTTAAGAAATGTGTTTAGTACTTCTTGGCATTTACCTTTTCTTTACAGTCCATAATGTTCCCCAAAAAATTGTTGGGATTCTGCGAGAATAACTCAAAGCTACCTGCCCAATTCATTCGCTATACGGAGGGGCCTTGCCATTTTTTTTTAAAGTATCAAATTTCAGTTCTGGGGAAAAAACAAACATGATGATCCTTTTCAAATCATTGTCAGCAAATTCAAAACCTCACAACAAAAGATTACCTTTATTGGAAACTTTCAACTATCTTCTTTATAACAAACTGCTCCATCTTTACAAGTACAACTAGGCAATGTAAAGTGACCTCAATCTGCGGCATGATAGATTAATTCCCTTTCAGATTATATGTATACAGCCCAAACTTCAAAGGCATTTAAAAAAAAGCATCTCCCTTCTTCATCTCACATTAGCCTTTCCTAAAATTCCTACCCAAACCAAGTAAATCAACTTACTTTCCACAGGATATAAATATACATTTTTATAAATTACAAACAATAAAAATTTGAATTATAATTTTTTTCCACGTATCATCTCCAATTTACAAGTAACTAATTAACTAAAGCACTTTATAGTATATCATTACAATTCTTCACTTATAAAGCAACACTGAAAAGTGTTGATTATCAATAAGGATATCCTGTAATGATATGTTTTCACAGAACATGATATTGATTGTAAATGAAAAACATATTATTGAAACTAGGAGATGACAGTATTTTTTGACAAAAAAATTTTAATTCAAGGGAATGACCAAAAGAAGGCATTTAAATCAGCATAACTTAAACAAGATCAATTAAGTTTACACCACCTCACATTTCACGCAGATAGCAAAAGTGTTAAAAATATTAAAATGGTAAAAAGAAACCACAAAGCCCATTATTTCTAAAAAGCAGACTCGGCTAACTTGGTTCATCTCAATTCATTGATTTATGAAACATGGAATGTAAACAAGTCCATAAAATAAAAATTAGTGCAATTTTAGAACACATATGAAATACAAATTAACTTTAGACTTTAGTCATGAGATAAAAGTGAGCTGTCTTTTTCTTAAAATGACTTTATTTTCATAAATTTAAGAATAAAACTTAAGTATTTTTTCTATCTAGGAAAGGGGAGGGGAGTTTGTCCCTGTCCTTTCAGGCTTAAACCTGGACTAAAGGTAGCACAATTTTTAAAAGACTGGCCATATATTGTACAGACATTTTACTTACCCAACAACTCTGATATTAGTCTCAAATACAGATACCACAACATCTGAGTTGAAGGTGACGTCGGCTATGACCTTCTTGACGGCATCTTCAAATTCATCAAGTAAACCAAGAAGGGCTAGAGAATCCAGGGTGTCGATCAGTGTTAGAGAGAAGCTAAACAAAAAGAATAAGGCAAAATATAGTTTAATGATGATGATAATAATACCTGTTGTAGGTTATTGTGCAATGCTCATGTCTGTAACACTCGGCACTCCTGGTGCTTTCCCAGCTTAACCCTTTGAGAGCGAGCCCGCGCAAGGCGATTGTTTCCTCTGTGACGGAGCGTTTTCGGCGCATCGCCAGTAAAGGAAAAATTGTCGGTGCTTTCTACTTTCATTGCTCATTGCGCCTCATACAGTCATTTTCGTGATTTTTAGTAAATGTAATAATGAAAGATCAGACTTTTACCTTTCTAAAAATATAAGTTTTGTTTATCAATACAAACAATAAGGTCTGTTATTTTTTAGGGGAATTGCCGTCTTACTTTGCTGAAGCTTCACGTCTTTCCTTTTCAATACACTCACAATACAAATTGCGTAAGCACCGCCGCATGCGCAGATTGGTCGATACCTCCATTCATTTCCCCATTGTCAATGATTGTCGTCTGCTAAAGCTCGGCAGATTACCAACCGAGCCATAAATAATAGGCCTAAACCTTCGTTTCACACAGGTTTTCAACACATTTTGTAACTACAATATTGTAATAATAAAATAGTAATCATGAAAGTAAAAATTATTTTTTCATCTTGTGCTCCTTTTTCTTCATTGCCAGAAAACTTGTTTTTATGCTGCCTTGCTTTTTTCTTCAACAATGGTAGCATCTTTGCCCAGGAAAATGCTCATATTGTGATATTCCATGGGAAAAGAGAGGAAGAGTAAGGGGTCATTTTTCAGAACATAACATTTGAACATTTCATATGCCCGCTCAAACCAAGACCAGCTTTAGGTTGATCAAGATATTTCACTCAATCCTGCTCTAAAATGGTTACATGCCCTCGTAAAGGTATATAAGTTAGAGTGGTTGTTTGTATTGTCATGAAGATTGACCTATTGACCTACGTCTAGGCCTACATCCTCTTCTTTCAAAACGGTAATCGTCCAGAGTAGTAACTTCTTTACATTCTTTTGTTCCTCTTAGGGTGGGGTATAAGCCTCTAATAAAAGAGGTCCATACATGAATGATTCGCTGAATTGGTCAAGTTTATAAAATGAAAAGTGTATTGTCATGTATTACGTCGATAAGGCTTAGATTAGTATATGATGAAAAAATGCCACACCGGCAGGGTAGATAAATATAAATGAGTAATCAGGGTCGAAATCGAACTGATAATACGACCCGTAATATGAATATCTGAAATGCGGAAGGGTGCATAAAGCAAGAATCCTGGCAAGAATATAGAACGGACACACGCGTACGCGTCCATCTCCAGCTGTACGGGTATTTCGGGGCCCTTTTTTTCGATCCGAACGCTAACTTAGAGTAAAGTTGAAATGATATCACTTTTTCTCGATTTTTTTCTACATAACTATATTTTTTTTTTAATCGATGAGATGAATGAATGTATCTAAATAATACTTCAAAGAATTTTAGCACATAATAGCCAATAATAAGCTGGTAAACTTTGTCAACATATTAGGAATATATCTCGGCTTCTGTAGAAGCCCGTCGTCTCCAAAGTGTTAAGCATGCACTATCATGGCACTCCAGCAATTCAAAGATTGAATTCCTGCCAGGTACCCATTTACTTCACCAGGGTCAAGTGTGGGAAATGTAGATTCATGTCTTCACAAAGGACATCAGTGCCACGGCAGGGACTCAAACCCTGTACCTTGTGATCTGCAGTACGGTAACCTATCCACTAGGCCACAACACCTCTACTCCTTTATACATTACATATATCTAAGCAATTAATCAAATTCTCTAGGGATAGTGGACATTTTGAGGAGTGTTTTTTGTATCACAATGTATCTAGACACTGCTATATACCTATGCATTATGCATGTAGTAGGTTGGAACATACTACTACCGTACTTTACACACAAATAATACAGCATTTGTTGTCCAAACACAGAAAATTCTTTTTCCACATACTTACATGTACATGTGCATGTTACATGTAAGAAATACAAAAATGAGAAGATACAAGTTAAAACATACATGTAAATACATTGGTGATAACCACTAAACGGCATCTGATTTGCTGTAAAGGAGTATCATACCTAGGATGCTTTTGTCAGTTTCAATTTTCAAAAATAATTTATCAGACAGTTTCTGAATGCTCATATACATGTAGATTATCAATGAGGAACATATTGATGTTCATCGAGAAAATAAAAGGGAATGTGTAGTTCTACATGAAACTATTTCCTAATTCCCCAATACACTAAAAAATAGAAACAACTGTCTTTTTTTCCTGCAACAGCTAAACCTGTTTTTTCAGCTTTTCGTGGAAACAGAAAAAAGTTACACCACTCTGAAAGGATGGCCTTTCTAGACAGGTTCTAAATAACATTGCTTTCTAGAGGGAAACTACATACATGTAGATGATCACTATAAACAAGTGAACTAAAACTCTTTTCTCACTGCAATTCCTTACCCCTGTACTAGCCATGGCCATGGAATTCATTAATTCGCTTCACTGCGTAGTCCCGGATTATTTTTCGTTTCTGTTCTCATTCATTTGGTTGGCACCGCAATTGCGGAGTTAGCAGGAGTTAGCACCACAATTGCGAGGTTAGCCCTGCTATTTTGCAGGGTTAGTTAACCCGTACTATAGGTGGGGTTAGCCCACTTTGGTAAATACCAGTCTGAACAGAAAGTGGAATAGGCTTAACCCCAGACTATAGGTAGGGCTAAGACCCCCCTTTAACCCCACCTATAGTACAGGGTTAAGCAAATTTTTCCAGTGTGTAATATAGGTGGGGCTAAACACCCCCCCCCCTTTAACCCCACCTATAGTACGGGGTTAAGCAAATTTTTGCCAGTGTGAAAAGAAAGTGGAATAGGCTTAACCCCGAGTATAGGTGGGGCTAAAACCCCTCCTTTAACCCCACCTATAGTACAGGGTTAAGCAACATTTTGCCAGTGTGAAAAGAAAGTGGAATAAGCTTAACCCCGGACTATAGGTGGGGTTAAGATACCCTTTAACCCCACCTATAGTACGGGGTTAAGCAAAATATTGCCAGTGTGAAAACAGTATAAGAGGCCAAGGCCCCATTTCACAATACTGGTCATCAGTGACAAATGACAGTTTTTGTTATAAGCTAGTGAAATCCTTGCTTCTGATTGGTTATCAGCAGATTTGTCACTGATTTTTGTTATTTGTCATTGAAAAAAGGCTGTGTGAAACAGGTTCTGGGCCTTTAGAGTCTTTGCTTCTGGACTGTTTTCTGAAACTAAAATGCTCACTTTCCGAGTGCATCGTCCACGTCCCCACGGTTTGGCTCGCGACCTCTGACCCGGCCTTTACAGCTGAGTGGCATCAATTCATCCGCTGGGTAGGCATATGTCTATGGGAGAAAAGAAAAACATGGACATGTGTTTAGCTGACATCCTGCACTTTCTATTCTAGTGTTGTTATTATTATTTTTTTTTTACTGTAGTAGAATGACAAAGTTGGGCATGGTTTCTCTCTTCTAGTTTCAAAGCCAACAAGGTACTAAACATGATAGTATTCTAAATACACTTATAATTCAAGTTGAACAAATATGGCTTTTGCATGATGAGGGAAGCAGTACATGTTTAATAAGGTGCTAACCTATAAAATAAATGTTATTCTGAAATGTAACACAAGTCAATTGAGAGTTAAAAGATGTATTTTTTCCAACCAGCTCACATATAAATTTGAAAATACAAAAGTTTAAAGCTTGCTTCATTCAGGGATAAGGGTCATTGCATAATGCATACATGTTCAGTAGGCCTACATGCAACTAACTTTTCATTGACATACCATACTGCACTGACCCTATCAAGGAGAACATCATTAACTTACCATGTAGGAGTCATAGGCATGGCTAAACATCTCCAGAACCTCTTCCCTGTGAGAAACACGCATAAAATATTGATTACGAATGGAAATTCAAGAAACAAGATATATCCAAATAGAAAAAAGGGGGAAAATGTACATGAATAGATTTATATCAAGGTACATAGTCTATGCCAATTGGTATGGTTAAATTTATTTCAATTTGCAAGATGAATGGATTCATGCATGCCCTTTCAAATTCTAATTCTTATTTAAGGATAAAAAATCCTAGATAGACTCTAATTAAGATTTATTATTATTCAAGCATAGATGTACATGTGTAGACGTAGACGTATCAACATTACCAGAACCTCATTTCAGAATCCTTACTACAATATTAACAAAAGACAACAACATTGCAGTTTTTACCAGCCAAATTTGTGCTTCTCTGGGGACAAAGGCCCATCCATTATTTTGGTAGATCATCCCCCCCCCCATTTTTTCCCTTTTCCGAAAAAGGTAAAATGCTGACCTCTAACATAGGGATTAATGTAAAAAGGTGCATGCAGAAGGGGGGGGGGGCTAAATTAAGTTTACTCCCCACATGCACCTGAGGACACTAAATTAATTGCTAATAGGGGCCTACCGTAAACTCAGCTGTCACCATCAAATTGGTAATCATCGCATAAACATGATGTATTTCTGGCCATGTAACATTGACAATACGATACAACATCAATGAATCGTTGGGTAAGGACGAAGAATCACTAGCCTTAAGGGCTCCCTCGAAATGTTTTTTATGATATTGATCGAGGGAGCCTTAAACGGCACCCATAGGGTCTCATGGAGAGGTAGGTAAACAACATCTCAAATGTGTCCAAAATCCCACTTTCCCCCACCCGCCCAATACTGGACAGTGGCTTCGATGAATTTTATGTTAGGTGTAATCGTAATGATATCCTGAATTCACAAATCGGAGGTAAAAATAAGGAAATAATAGCAATTTTCTTACCAGACCGATGCAGCTCAGCTCCGTTTTCACGTGTACCGTGTGAATTCACGATCTCTACACAATGGTGATGACCTCTGACTGGCACTTCCGTGATTGTGCTGCTTCCGTATAATGCGCTGTATGAGTGTTATTCAGCGCATCATACGGAAGCAGAACATTTACGAAGTGCCAGTCAGAGGTCATCACCATTGTGTAGAGATCGTGAATTCACACGGTACACGTGAAAACGGAGCTGAGCTTATTTTTACCTCTGATTTGTAAATTCAGGATATCATTACGATTACACCTAACATAAAATTCATCAAAGCCACTGTCCAGTATTGGGCGGGTGCGGGAAAGTGGGATTTTGGACACATTTGAGATGTTGTTTACCTACCTGTCCATGGGACCCTATGCCTGGGTGCCGTTTAAGTAGGGTGTCTGAACGATTTTTCAATTTTCAATTTGGGATCGTTTTTCACCATTTTTGTTTGATATTTGAATAAAAAATGTTATCAGAATAATACATTTCAAATTTCAAGTCTCACCGATGTTTCTATCAAAAGTTACAGCCCCTCCAACACGCTGGTATATTCATATCATTTTGGTCAAAATCGACGAAAAAGACGTCCACGCAGAGTGATGTTGTTTTGCTAAATTTAGCCAAACAGCTGTATCGCGCGATATGCAAGCGTATGCATATCGTACGCATGCTGCTAAGCCAATCCGCGACTTGCAGCTTGAGCTACGCTGTCTCCGCGACATGTGCGATTGACTAGTATGGTTGGCGTTCGTCGCACAATAAACCCGGAAGTGAATGCACGTTATAGTCAATGGCAATATCGCGGAGACAACGCACGTTGTCTCCGCGATATTGCCATTGACTATAACGTGTATTCACTTCCGGGTTTATCGAGGGAATTGCCAACCATAATTTCAGTCACTATGAATTTGGGGTTTCGTTCGTGCGCGGAGATGTTACGCGATGTAACCATGGTTTGGACTGAGCGGAGCGCACGCCTCCTAATTAGCTGATCCACCAAATAGCGAGAAGGGTATTTTTAAACTGTTATCAGTTGTGATCCCTGGGGGCTAGCGAAAATATAATCACATAGAATTGTTCCTTAGGACTGGGACTACTTATCGATCGGGGCGTCATATCTCAAAAGTGACAAACCTCAGAGTTAGCCAGGACACAATGTTTAAATTGCTGTTTTGACCAAGATATTTTTAGAATTTCGGGGGCTACGCCCCTTTGGAAATATTGGAATTCACCTGCTCTTTCATATGACACCTCATTCATTGATTATCACCTTCAGGATCACAACTGATAAAGGTTTGAATCTCGATTTGAAAAAAAAAAATTGACTTTTTTTGCATGGTCGCGCAATGCACGTAGGCTGCATAGGGATGCGTGTAATCTCTATGGGAAGAATTTTAGCACACAACATCGGGTGCGCGATCAGACACCCTAGTTTAAGGCTCCCTCGATCAATATCATAAAAAACATTTCGAGGGAGCCCTTAAGGCTAAGAATCACCCTCTTTCCCATCAAAGACTTCTTCAAATTATAATTTTTAGTGGTTGGAATGATGCCCAGAGAAACATTGGAAGTCAAAATTGTAATTAGGCTGTTACCTTTTCACATTTCGAAAAAATGTGACCCCCCGTCCAACCCGCTGTTTGAATTGTTTTCCTGTACGAGCTCAGGATCGCCGACGCCTTCGGCATCAGAGCTCCCTGGAATTAATGCACATGGAGCAGTAGCCTCCCCACCCCCTAGTATCCTAGTCTTTTAAAGTAGCTGTATTTTAAATTGAATTTCCATTCATCAATAAGATCCAATGACAATGAGAAAATTGTTTTGTGAATTGTGTTGTCTTACCTGCGAGCCTTTTTATCAACATTTCCTGTTCCAGTCGCAAATTCTCCAAACAACAGGAAGGCAAAACAAAGATTGAATGATACAGAGCTCTTCATGCTGCCACTCGGCTGTGAGGTTTAGGGCCAGAGAGTGATGGAAAAGAAATAATATCGTTTGATTGCTAATCTCCCATTTTGAAATATCATACAGATGCAGATGCAGACCAGTGTCCACTTGAGCTTACGATCTGAACGTACGTACGTAGATATCTGACAACATTGCAATTAGCTGCTACGTAGTTTGATCGCTCCTACGCTACATACACGAGTAGATTTTAGCGATCTACTTCGGAATCAGCGAATAACAAGCCGGTTTTACTGTAGTCTATGCTTACAAGTATTTTATTATTTGTATAATGTTTTTATATTTGATTTCTAAAAAATGATAATCAAAATCCTCCGTAATTAAAAAAAAATACTTTCCTAATACTTCACATTTAATCAAATTGTTATATTATTCATTTGGGGGTGCATAGTGTTAACCTCTTGAGTCGTAATAAAATACAAGCCTGAATCATGAGACTACCTTCGAGAAAACTAATGATGTGGAGACCTTTAATTTTTACTACAGCTTTTCAAGCAAATCCAACAGGCAAGATGCATGTAGAATTTCCACTAGAAGAAAACAAATAATTCAAAAGACAAAATTAAAGTGATGAAAGTGAACAGGTAGTTCCAATTTCAATTTGCCGATAAGAGAGAGAGAGAGTCTAGTTTTGCCGACATCCCCACCCCCCCTCCTTATTTAACAGTTTTTGACCCCCGGCCCCCCCCCCCCCCCCCCCCCCCACTCAGAGGTCGGAATGACCGCATGCGTGTTGCCAAAATGTCCGGTAAAGGGGTACTTTTCGTGCGACAAAGTCCGGCCCGAGAATTGTAAAAAAAGGGGTGTATTTGACTTTTCACCCGGAGATTTCTTTAAAAAGGGGGTGTTTTTCTTTTTTTCTCTCATCTCTTTGGACTCCTGAGAAATTATTCCGAATTTAGGGGGGTACATTGAGCATTTTTCCTGATTTAGGGGGGTCTCCAAGGCAGGAAAAGCACGCGAAAAGCCCGCGAAAGGGGGGTTCGGAAATGTTGGCAGTCCTCAGATAGGAGGTGCTTTCAAAAAAAGGGTACGAGCATATGCGTACCCTAAATAACACTGAGTGGGGGGGGGGGCCGGGGTCACACCATTAATTTCAAGTCCCGAGAATTAGTCCACGCTATCATTTACTTACTTATTTATTTATTTATTTATTTCGTTTTATTCGAGATTAGGTTATTGTCATTGGCGTGAGTGGGAGCCTGGGAGGGGATCGTTTGTACAGAGCCCTATTAACTAGATTCATATTCAAAGTGTGTTCGTTATACCCTGGTCTGGGAAGGGTACTAGCTAGGAAAGAAATCCCAACGACACAAACCTAACTGGGAATACTTGAACAAAGTTACCTAGCGTGATAAAATTAAAATTAAAATACAAATAAAATTACCAGAAGCTATGCAATTTCATGACAAGATTACATTCTCAACAATATTTTACCTTTTAACTTGGGTCTTGGGGTACATAATACATGTATAACCACAATGTGAAATGAAGTCGTAGAATGAGCAAATTACCTGAACGTTTTGTTATTGAAGGAACCACTACTTTTTTCGGTTCAAGCTTTTCAAATCTCCTTCTGTTTCTCGTTCTCCTTCTTCTTGTTCTTGTTCTTCTTGTTCTTCTTGTTCTTGTTCTTCTTGTTCCGTTGTTCTTATTCTTTTTTGTATATGTGGAGGGGGGGGGGGGGGTCTAAGTTGGACCGGATTGGTTTGAAAAAAGGCTTAGAACACACATCGGGAAAAGGGCATCCCCGTGATGTCATTTGAACAGTATTAGGGACTTTTAGATTTGCACGTCGACAGCTTTGACTGCAACGTGTGACGTAATTTTAAGGCACTGCGCATGCGTCACGTCGTCTCAGTCGGCGATCGAGAATGCGTCAACTTTGATTTTCCTAAATCTAGTACGGTACTAGTATATGCCGCGTGCGCATAAAATATACAGTTCCTCAGGTAGACAAAGGAACATCCCTTCCCTGCTATTATGTAAAAATGTATAGAACAGGTGTCACATGCATGTTCACCTGTTCTACACATTTTTACATAATAGCAGTGAAGGGATGTTCTACCACAGCAATAGGCAATTTTCGTAATGTAACCAAATTTAATGCATAAGTCTTTGTGAAGTGCCCCAATACAAATTATTTCATTCACCTGATAAGAATAATAGTATTTCAATAGACAGAATCCAAACTGCATACATAAGTTGTTGCCAGGTTGGACAAACATTATGGCTTGACCTACCTAGCAACACTTGATTATGCAGTTTGCATTCTAACTATTGAATTACTATTATTCTTATCAGGTGAATGAAATAATTTGTATTGGGGCACTTCACAAAGACTTATGCATTAAATTTGGTTACATTACGAAAATGACCTATTGTTGATGGTAGAATGAGGAACTGTATATTTTGATCTCTTTCTTTGTCTGCCATGTTCATAGTGTTACTTCCTGCATGCATGTATATCGTCGAGTGCAATCTAAAAGATTTCTAATTGTAGTCAGCATGGGCACGCATGATCAGTCGGCGTTCGTCGAGTTCTCGTCCACTCAATCTAAAAGTCCCTATTGTTTCGTCATCCGCGAGCGTGCGAAGAGAAAGAGAGAGCGAAAGAAAGAGAGAGAAAGAGAGAGAGAGAGAGATAGTACATGTTTCCTCTCAGTGACAGTTTACGAAAGGGAAAAGCGACATAGCGGTAAAAAGGGAATAGTTTTTGCCCTTTCGAATTATATTTTCTATCACTGAGTGGCGAATGTTTACGAACCATCGTTGCAAATTTTTGATTTGCCAACTTTTCTGACGAATGTTGCCAAAAATCAAGGTTCGCCTTGCGACATTTACCGACTTTTTGCGATGGTAAGCTACTGCAACATTTGAGCGATTGTTTGCGAAAGTGTTGCGAGAGGCAGTTGGCGACTATTCAATATACGACTGTAAGCAAATGTTAGCGACAGTTTTTGCGAAGATATTTTCAACTATTTGCCAATCTGTTGCCATTATTTGTGAATGTTTGGGACCTTTTGCTAACTCCAGGGGCCAATTTTATGTAGGAACCGTATGGTCACGTGGTCGCTAGCATTGGCGAATCAGAAAGACTTCAGCGACACCATCTTACAACCGTTTGCAAAGGCTTGCAACTGTTTGCGGAAAAATAAATTCGCAAAGAAATTTTGAACATGTTCAAAAACTGTTTGCGACAATGAAAACTGTTTGCGAACTTACTTGCAACCTTTTACGAACCTTTTACGAAGCACAATTCGCTACGTTCGTAAGCATTTGCCGCTCAGTGAGATACATCGATACCCCCCTTTACAAATGATGTTACCTTTGACTTTGAAGAAAATAGAGGGCGCGCTTGCATTCAAGGGAAAATTACTCAGAGAAGAAGTAAAAGGATTACAAGAAATCGCAAGAAATATGCCTCATCTGTCAAATCAAATTGCATTTTTAGTGCAAATATATGGGACACGATGGACACAAGCCCTCGCGGTCCCTCTGGATTTTTTTCAGGGGGGGGGGGAGCTTGTCATAACATGTTCCGATAGATTAAATCAGGGGCGGATCCAGGCTCGTGTATACAGGGGGCAAAAGTTTTTTTTTTAAAGGGTAAATGGAGAAGAGAACATTTTCTAGGTAATTTTTGGATCTAAACTTTAAAGATAGACACACTTTCAAGAGGCCACGGGCGGGGTGTGCCCCCTTCCTCTTTCAATTCGCCGATTCATTTTCAATTTAAGATAATTTATCAATAAAAAGTACTTTTATGTTTTCTATCATACAACGGTGCAGCTATTATATTACTGTATGATAGTTCAATCATGTTCATTTTTTATCTGCTGGTAGGTATATTTTCATTTTTTTTAATGATGCTTTAAAACATGTATAATTTTCTTTTAGTCTAGTTAAACTATCCATTGTGTGCTTACACTGCCTTCCGTTTGACACATTGTGTTTGTTCTTTAGCTTGTTTGATTGTATAATTATCTTTTAGTCTCGTTAAACTATCCATTGTGTGCTTATACTTTCTTTTGTGCAATCCACTTTAATCTGCCGTTTTCTTTTTAGCCACACTTTTATTTAAACTCTTCAGTCTGACTTCAAATTTACTTATCTTTTAGTGTGTTTTAAAGTTGTTTGATTTTATCGTACCAGTGCAATCAATTTAAGTGAACTTGTTTCGTTTAGTTCATAAATATAAGTATATTCCCTTGCTTTATTTGGCTCATTTAAATCCAAGCATGAATTTTATGTAGGTTGTTTTTTTTTCAAACTAAAACGTGTTCTGTGTTATTTCTATATCTAGTAGTAAATAACTGTGTATTATGTATTATGTATATGTTTTTATTTGTTGTTGTTGTTGTAATTTTTACCATGTAATTTGTCACTCACCTACATGGCTCCTTTGTAAAGCAGGCCTTGTGGCTCTGAAAGGACTGCCCTGTATTTTAAAGAAGACCGAATAAATAAATATAATTAAATAATCTCATAATTTATATCCATCTTGAGAGCAGAACTGGGAGCTATATTAATGGCACTTGAATGGATAGATGAATATCATCCAAATGCAGTTGTGATTTTGACAGATTCAGTCTCAGCTTTAGAAGCCATCAAGAATGTGGAAGAATCCAGCATAGTTTTTGAGATAGGCTATACGAAAAATTACTGGCTATAAATTATTCCTTCGGTATTAACCTAAACCTTGAATGGGTACGAGCCCACTGCGGCCTTTAGCAGGAAACGAACGAGCTGATTTGTTGGCAAAACAAGCTTCGAACAAACAACACACATATATCATAGTAAACCAAAGCAAAAGTGAATTTTAATATAAGAGAACCAGACATTTATTACAAATCCATGTGGCAAAACCTCTGGGAAAAAGCAAAGAAAGGGAGACACTTGTATAATTAGCATCAACAAAAATGTAAATAATGTTTTCACAATCAAAGGTTTGAACCGAAAAGGATGAAAGATTAATTCGCCAATTCAGACTTGGTAAATGTAACCTAAATTACTATAAATATTTAAATAGAAAACACTACACTGGACTATGTATGTTGCCACCCGAGAAGTTACGGAATTTTCCGAAGATCTTCAAGCACCGTCACCAACATCACCTATATTATATAACTCTACCTGTGATGAGTCATTCATCAATTTGTCTGATGACGCAACAAAGGAATGCCAATTGTGTGGATTGAAATGTGATGAGAAAGAACGCATTTGCATGAAGTGTAAATGCATAAATCAACGAATCGACCAGCTGTCATCAGATCTTAGGAAAGTCCAACATGCAGTTGAAGCTATTCTCGATGCTCCTAAGAATGTGAAGACCAACCCCTCCCCCTAGAAGCAGCGGAGAACCCCACCACCCGCCCAGAAGTCAGATCGTCAACAAGATCAGATATCATCGGCCGGTTTTTGAGTCTCAATACATGTATCCACCGCAACCCCCTCCTCCTCATCAACGTATGCAGTTTGTCCCGCCCACTTCAGACTTCCCAGCACCCTTCCCTCAACGTAGACTGAACCCACAATTGGACCAATCCCGTTACCAGCCGCCTCTACAACCCCCTTCGCGTCCTATGCAACCACCTCTGAATGAACCGACAATCAACCACCATCATCCCAGACCATCTACATTCTTTAACCATAACCTCTACCAGAATCAAGGTTTCGCATTTCCCCCCTCTCCATACAACCAGAGCCAACGCCGCTCCTACGCTTCGGTAGCAGCCCCGCCCACCTTTTACAACTACGCTTCAGCGAGCTGCACTTATTGCGGCGAACTCATCCATCGTGAACATAAATGCAGACGTGGTGTCCAGCTTCAATGCCGACGATGCTTACAATACGGACACAAAGAAAAAATGTGCCATTACTAGGTTGCAGGCCAGGAAGAGTGTGCCTTTGAGAGCGAAGTATCTTTGAAGCAAAGTGATTTACTTTCATTTCCTAAAGAGCATGACAATTAAATGTGCTAGTAAACTCTCCAAAGTAAAAGGATTAAAAATTGGTCATGTTCGAAGTCTTCATGGGAAGATAGACGAAATTCGTTTTCGGACCTCTAAGATCAATCTTGATATAATAATGTCTGAGAAAATGGCGATTAAATAGCCGATGAAAAGAAGAGAAATAGGCGATCAAAAACTGCACTCTATCGGAGTCACACCGATGAAAATACCGATTGAATTTTCCTTATGTAAACAAAGGTGAAACCGCAGTTTTTCCCCTGTCGGTTTCTAACTGCCGGTGAAATTCACTCGCTGTGGCGAGCCCTTGCCGGAAGTGAAGAATTATTACGTAATTATTAAGCCCGCGCTACATCTAGCTAGCATGCAGCATGTTCAACCATAAGTCAACAAACACAGCTGGTTACGATAAAGCGCGCGTATACTGCGATCTTTGCCCATTTTAATCGCTGTTTTAATCGCCCTTTTCTCCCGAACGTTTTCTAACTGCACGTTTCATCGGTGTCACACCGATAGAATGAGAATTTCTCCTGCTCTTGAGCAGGAGAATTTAATCGCCTATTTCTCTTCTTTTCATCGGCTATTTAATCGCCTTTTTCTCCTCTGTTGCTTTCTAACTGCCACTTTCATCGGATGCGTCCGGATGCATCCGATGAAAATCGGTGCAGTTAGAAAAGGGTAAAATTCTCCTGCTCAAGAGCAGGAGAAATTCTCATTCTATCGGTGTGACACCGATGAAATTGCCAGTTAGAAAACGCTCGGGAGAAAAAGCGATTAAAACAGCGATTAAAATGGTCAAAGGTCGCAGTATACGCGCGCTTTATCGTAACCAGCTGTGTTTGTTGACTTATGGTTGAACATGCTGCATGCTAGCTAGATGGAGCGCGGGCTTAATTATTACGTAATAATTCTTCACTTCCGGCAAGGGCTCGCCACAGCGAGTGAATTTCACCGGCAGTTAGAAACCGACAGGGGGAAAACTGCGGTTTCACCTTTGTTTACATATTATGTACAATTAATTTTAATTTTAATTTTAACTACGCTATCATCTATCATGTCACGCAACCATGTCACTGCAGTCTAGTCATACCGATGAAAATACCGATTGAATTTTCCTTATTAGGAAAATTCAATCGGTATGTCACTGCAGTCTAGTCACACCGATGAAAATACCGATTGAATTTTCCTTATTAGGAAAATTCAATCGGTATTTTCATCGGTGTGACTAGACTGCAGTGACATGGTTGCGTGACATGATAGATGATAGCGTAGTTAAAATTGATGGTTATCACTTACAGGAATAACAACACTAGAGGAGGTGGTGCCTGTATATATGTTCGTCATACCATTGTTTTTTCAGAAAGATATAACTTGTTAAGTATTAACGTAGAGGCTACTTGGATTGAATTATCATCGAAATCTGATAAACTTATCATTGGGTGTTTATATAGACCACCGAATTCTGACTCTTCTTATTTTGATAATATGCTGGATATTTTGAGAAAGTAGCATCTGAAGATAAGGATATATATTGGGTGATTTTAATTGTGATTATAAGTTTGATGCTGCAAGTTTTAGTGATAATCTTACTTTATATTTAATTTGCTGTTTTATCATTTATGAGTCTTATATTGTATACCGGGGCCCTGCTTACAAGCAACCTGCTTATTAAGGGTATCCCTCCATGTTCATGTTTATATTGTTATTTTAATACAATGTGTCAATACTATGTTATATTTGTTCTTTTTTAAAGATGGAAAATAAATTGAAATTGAAAATTGAAATATGATTGAAAATCTCTTCTCATTAACACAATTGATCCATAAACCCACCAGGGTTACAGGCACCTCTTCTAAATGTTTAGACCGTATTCTTACTTCTGTACCAGATAAGCATAATTATACTAAGTGACGTAGCTAAGATATCCTTAAGTGATCATTACTTTATATACACATGTATAAATGTCAACAATACTTCTAAGAATGTTCATAATGTAGTACGATTTAGAGACTATAAGAATTTTAACGAGAATGCTTTTATTGATGATTTAAAACATTCTGACGTACTTAATAATAATTGTACTTCTTGTATTCCCCTACGAGAAAAGTGGGTTGAATGGAAACAGGCTTTTTTAATTTGTTGTAACAAACATGCTCCTGTAAAAGAATGTCGGGTTAAAACTAGGCACTGCCCATGGATAAATTCTAATATTATTAAACTCATTTATAAAAGAGACTACTTAAAGAAAAAATATGATAGATTAAAAATTCCATATCTATTGACTGAATATCGAAATCTCAGGAATTCAGTCACCAAGCTCATACGAAAAGAGAAGAGAGAATATTTTGATTCAGTATCTGAGAGATACAGTAATGATAGTAAGAAGTTATGGAAGGAGTTAAGCAAAATTACTGGAAGGGGGAAAGAAGACTCTGTTTTACCATCTGATTTAGACAGTAATAAATAAAGTATACATACCTTCGTCTTGAAATCAATTAGTCCCGGGAAAACTAAACATAATCTCTCTCTATTGTCGAAAGAGAGTAGCCTTGATATCTTAGAATTTGATAGAAAATTACTTCAAATCTCAGCTCCTTATATTAATATTTCTCTTAATTGTCTTTTTAATGAAAGTTTAAATTGTGGACTTTTACCTAATGATTGGAAATTGGCCAGAACTACGCCTGTTTATAAAGGTAAAGGCGATAAAAATAATATTTCAAATTATAGACCCATCTCAGTTGTATGTCATATTGCTAAACTGCTTGAAAAGGAAGTTCAGTCTCAATTTTTATCTTACTTGCAGACTAATCATCTTATTAGTGTTGACCAATATGCTTTTTGCCAAATCATTCAATTAATACATGTCTACATAGAGTCATTGATGATTGGTACGAATCTTTTAATGAAAAGGAAAAAGTTGGTGCATGTTTTCTTGATATTTCTAAATGTTTTGATTGTATTGACCATGAACGTTTGCTGTCCAAATTGAATAAGTATGGTATTTTAGATACTGAACTTAAATGGTTTTCTAGTTTTTTATCTGGTCGGGAAAAAGCAGTTTATTTTCATGTTAAACTGTCCGAATCAAAGGACATAACTATAGGAATTCCTCAGGTGAGTATTTTAGGCCCCTCACTCTTTCTTGTTTTTATAAATGATATAACTGATTGCTTACGATTAAGTACGATTAAGTATTAAGTAAGTATTAAGTAATATATACGCTGATTATGTTGTCTTATATGTTTCTGATATGGATATTAATGTCATTACATCTAAGCTCCAAGCAGATTTGTATGCTATAAATGAATGGTATTGTAAAAATAGATTACGTATTAATACTAATAAGAGTAATGTTATGCTGTTGAGTAGTAACACACGAGGTAACGATGAATTAAGTCTGAATGTACATATTGATACTGAAACAATAGAACAAGTAAGAAGTATCAGATATTTAGGGATTGAAATTGATGATAGATTATCTTGGGATATCCACATTAAATCTCTTACCAAATCATTAAGTTATAAGATTTTTACTTTGAGAAAGCTCAGTAAATTTTTAAGCTCTTCCATTTTGAATGAAATATACAAATGTACCATACAGCCAATCTTAGATTATTCTTGTTCCGTATGGGGAAACTGTTCTTTACAAAACAGAAATATTCTTTTAAGACTGCAAAAAAGAGCTGCACGTATTGTCGTAGGGAATATTGATTATGATGTAAATAGCTTGAGTATAATGAATTCATTAAAATGGCAATCCATTGATACTAGACGGGACTATTTTTTATCATGTATAATGTACAACTGTATTCATGGAAAAGCCCCAATACGATTATGCAATGAAGTGGAAATGATTTTTGACAGACATGGTTTTAACACTAGACTTGCCAATACGCTGAATGTTGTTTTACCTAAGCCTAATCTTGAATGTTTTAAGAATTGTTTTAGATACGCTGGAGGTAAAATCTGGAATAGTTTACCTTCTGCTTTTCAAAATGCTAAATCTATCGATGTTTTTAAACGTATGTACAAGGACAAAATTTTTAAACCTGTGTAATACAATGCCGATTCATTTACTGCTTTGACATGGCTTATCTCTCTCTCTCTCTCTCTCTCTCTCTCTTTCTCTCTCTCTCCATTTCCCTCTCCCCTCTTTCTTTCTTTCCCTCTCCCCTCTTTCTTTCTTTCCCTCTTTCCTCCTTTACTTTTTACCAGTTTCCTTATATCTTCTCTCCTCTTCTATTTTTTAGGGTGATATTTTTATGCCTTTTATTAAAGTGATTTGATATTCTTTCCGCTGTTAATTTCATTTATTACATTGTCGTTTTTTTTTTTTTTTTTGGGGGGTGCTTTTTACTATTTTTAATGCGTATTATGCTTATATGTTAGTTTTTTTTACTGTTCTTACCTTTGCCTGTGAGCTTTGGTGATATTCATTATTTATATTTCCGTGTTTTGATCCTGTTCAGGACCATGATGTAAAACAGATTTTTTTATCTACAATGTATATCTGATTCTTGTTATCCTGATTAAATATATTTCAATAAAATAAAAAATGTGAAGAATGCCAGGCGATAGAAACAATTAAGCTCTTTTTATTATTATGCCCAAAATATGAAAGACAAAGAAGGGGAATGTACAGAGCACAAAAGACCCCTAATCAAAATCTAGGAAAGTAATATATAGGAAATGTGGTAGCTTTTTTAAAAGGATGTGGAAGGTACAACGAACTGTGATGCTCAGCTATACTCTACGCTGCAACATTAGCATCATAATAAATATTTATTATTAAGGACGTACGTGACTGTGTTACTTGCTGGTATACGAAGAGAGGCTTCAAACGATACGTCTTAAAATTAAAACTGAACGCAACTAATATTCAACCACTTCATCCGTTCCTTCCTAATTAATTCTTTAAAATAACTAGCTGCATAACAACACAGGTGAAATAACTACTACAAATTTACTAACATTATTAATTTCATAAACACAACGCCACAGGCTATCGTCGACCCAACATAGCAAATATATCAAGAGAGGACCAGAAACTACGCCTTTTCACTCTGCCTGGCGAAAATCATCCAACGACGATGGAAAACGCCATTAAAGCCAAAATATAACAATTAATCTCTACATGGTAAACATTCGCGAAACAGACCGAAGTTCTCCTCACGCGTCGATTTCGCGTATGTTGCACTAACGTGATTGCTGCGGTTGCGTCGTCCCTAGTCGTATACCGCTTTGCCGGCGAGTGAGGCCACGGGAAAGACACGCAGTCTCGTCAGTTTACAGTCCCTTTAAGTTGAAGTGTACGTCTTGATGTTGTTACGCCATTATTAGCCTCCTTTCAATTCACCAATTATTTTCAATTTAAAGGGATAGTTGAGTTTTGTTGCAGAGGGCGCTACACAAAATAATTTGTTTGTGAGATATTGAAAACTGAGTTTCAAATTTGAAAGAATATACAATTGAAATGACAAAATCATCTTTGTTTGACCAAAATTGGTTCAGAGACGGCTGAAATATCCTTAAATCACAATTCTCATATTAATTTTACTAACCCTAATCCTAAAAATAGTCATTTATGACATGAAATTGTACATATGTATATATATATAAATAATTCAATAAATAGTGTGTGGCAAAAATAGTCAACTGTGACTGATTGCCAAACAAAAACAAATCAAGAAGAAGAAGAAGAAGAAGAAGAAGTTGGTATATTCGGTAAATACGAAACAGCCGTTGCAAAACGAGATTTAGTGCTTATACGATTTATTCCAGCCAATGCCAATATATAAGAATAAGAGCAACAAACATGAGCTTTGAAGACATTTGCGGTCTTTTACATGGCAATCAACTATCCCTTTAAGATTACAAGTTATACATTAAATTTGCCTGTTTCATGTGTCTAGCATACAACGGTGCAGCTATTTTATTGTTGCATCAAATTCCGAACCCGGTCAATTTTTGATCTGCTTTTTTAATTTGCTGGTATAGGTTCCGGTATGCATGTACCTTTAAAAAAGGTTGAAAATGACCGGAACCTTTTTAAAAATCTGATAGGTTGTAAATAAGTTTAAGTGCCTTGATATTATTACGCCATCTGGGTATGGCGAAATTTACAAAATAGCGCCTAGAAGACGTCATATTTAAATAAGTAAATGACCTTGAAAAGTTTTGCGTTTTCAGTCCTCAATAGGGTCTACCATTGTGCCAACTTTCAAATTTCTCACAAATATAAGACCTGATATGTACAATAGCGTGAACCACAAAATAAAACTAAAAGATCAGACGAACATAAGAGAAGATTATGTACAACTGTACATACGACCTAATGTCACAATATTGCCCATATTTTGGATAGTTCTTTTCATTTATCGTACCAGGGTACTGTGGGATCCTGAATACATTAACTCCAGATTACGGTGACTTGTTATGGCATTGGACTCAAGTAGATATGTTACAAAAAACTACAGAACAGGGGGGGGGGGGGTGTTTTACAAAGATCCTAAGTCGAACCTAACTCTAAGTTGGACTTAAACATTATAGAGAGCAATTTGTAGCCTTACGATGAAATATATTCTAAAGCAAAAATTCTAGTTTTTTTAGACTTTTCATAATTTCCACATAAAGAACATGAAATCTCCTTGATAATAGAAAATATGACAGTTTTATGAACATTTTATGCCTTTTGAAAAAACTTTACATAGTATTTTCAAAGATGCTTACGGCTTTCCATAATTGTTAAGTCCAACTTAGGATCTTTGTGAAACAACCTCCAGGGCTGGTAGAATTATTTTTAAATTTAAATCATCTGAACATAAACCAATTAGTGAAATTCATAATATTTTGAATTGGGAAATTTTAGAAAATAGACAAGTTAGGCATATTATTATTTGATGTATCAAATATTTCACGATTTGGCACCTGTATATTTGAAAGAGAAGTTTATTGTTAAGACTACAACCTATGCCCTTAGAAGTACTAATTTAGTGTTGCCTAAACCGAAAACACAGAATTGTAAGCGTACGTTTCTGTATCGCAGAAGTAAATTGTATAATGGATTACCGTTCACTCGGCAATCAAGAAGTTTGGCTATATTTAATAAAGAAATTAAAAGTTTAGTTCGAAATGTTATGACAGAGAAATGTGTAATATTAATACCAATTATGAATGTACATAACATTGTTTATTGTTCCTTGTAATATACCCTTGAAGACTTGGAGGGGGTAGCGGGAGGGATTGGCGGTATCGAGAGGGTGGCGGGAGGGGGTGGTAAGGCGAGGGGATCGTTGAGGGTGATAATGCATTGGTAAATTAATATGATTGAAAATTGATATTGTGTGTAAATTAATATAAATTTTTGCTTTTGGACCCCATGGAAGAACAGGACCATTTTGAAAATGGTCCTGAATTGGGCTATCCAACCGTTTGTCTATATACGTAACACATTTACTTACTTACTTTCTTATCATTTGAAATGTGTTTTACATGTATGTTTTTAAAACTTGTATGTATATGGATTCCGGGAAAAACAAAACACTAAAAAAAAAGTCCTGAATTCATTAAGATTAACAATGGGTGTGTCGGAATTCATTACTGTGTGTGGCAGTGAAACTTGCCTTTCTTTTCTTTAGAGCAGCCTTTGCATATATTAAGTTTTAATGCCATGCCTTGCAGTTCAGTCATATTTAGGCAGATTGCAGCTAGCTTTCAAAGAGCAAAGACAGGTTTTGCCTATATAGCTCATATGCATCTCCGGGTATGAAGCAGCCGCGCTTGTTATTTTTGGCGATGTAAAGCCAGTTCCTTTACGCAGGAGCAGGGGCGTACGCAGGATTTTTTCAAGGGGGGGGGGTTTTAAAATATTTTGCTCCCGAAAATTTGAAAATCGCGCCGGCCGAAAAGTCGCTCAGTGGGGGGGGGGGGGGGGGGGGGGGGGGGGGGGGGGGGGGGGGGGGGTAAGCGGACACTTTTTTTTTTTTTTTGGAGGTCAAAAAAAATCGCAACGACTCAGCCAGCCGAAAAGTCGCTCAGTGGGGGGGGGGGGGGGGGGGGGGGGGGGGTAAGAGGACACATTTTTTCTTTTTTTGGTCTCGACATTTCAAAATTTGACATTTTTTGTCGTTGGGGGGGGGGGGGAAAGGTCACCTTATTTAGGTTAGCCGTGGGTATAATTTTTTTTTTTTTTTTTTTTTTTTTTTTTAAATAAAAAAAAAAAACAAAAAAAAAAACAAAAAAACAAAGGGGGGGGGGGGGGGGGGGTTTTAGGTTTTTTTAGGGGGGGTTTACATACATAAAAATACCAAAGGGGGGGTTGAACCCCCAAAACACCCCCCCTGCGTACGCCCCTGCGCAGGAGGTTTCCATCTTCTGACCAGATACCAACCGTTTTCCAATGGGTTTTTCAATGATTTCCAGACAATTTCCCGATTTGTATCCAAGCGGATCTACCACTTTTGACACTAGGGCTCTCCCCGGGTATATTACGGGCTTTCACAAGCAACTATTATACCGTATCCGGGCCGTACGCGGACTTGAGATAAAGGTGTTCCAGCAGACCAGGGGCGGAACCAGCCGGCGGCAGGGGGGGGGGGGTGGGGGGGGGGGGCAATTCGTGAGAAAATATTTAGCGGCGAAACAGCCAGCCGGTGAATAATTTTGGCCCCAAATATTGAAGATGGCACCCCCCCCCCCCTTGAGCACCAGGGGAGGGGGCCCGTCTTCAAATAAAGGTAAAATTAACGTGTTTTTATCAGTTTTTTCCCAAGGGGAAGGGGGCTCGGGCCCCCTCCGTGGATCCGCCACTGCAGCAGACTACGAAATAGACGAGATTGTTTTTCCTATATAGACAGCGAGCGAGGACCCTGCGGTAATCCTCATCTTTAGTGGCAATTTTCTCCATTCGACGACATTCGCGTACAAACTTTCGCGAACCGATGAGTTCAAAAAACTGATTAAAAATGTAATATCGAGGGGGTAAAATTACTTGAAGGGAACTATGATAATTTAATTTACTTGCTACAGCTCAATGTTCGTGCTATTTAATTCCAAGTGTGTTAAAGAAAGCATGTAATAATTATACAGTATAATTTTGATGTAAGAAAAAGAAAATCACAACGGTTGTGATATTCTTTTCTTACATTAAAATATAAATGCAATTTTAATCTATCTCGTTTATTTTGTTCCGCAAGGTCGTCAACCACCCCTAATACTATTATCTTTAATCGATAACGTGACATCTAATACAAATGAAACTAAATGGGAAAAGAGAGGGTACCCTTCCCAGTAGAGTACCAGGAATTAAATATTTTATACCCGTATCTAGTTCTCGTAAAAAATTCTCGTTGTGAATTTTATGTGGTCATCTTCTAATATTGTCATTCTTCGTTGATCGGCATGTTTATAGGCACACACTGTCTTCCCCTAGAGCTAGTAAGAATAAAAGAAGTTGTAGGATACAAGTACACGAAGCCATATTAGTGTCCAAAGGTACGGTAAGTGATTTCATTTTTCATTCTTTTTCGTGACATGCTTGCTGGATATTCAAGCTTTCCCTTCTTATATGTGTGGCGTTGTAACGATATATTTCGGTATTGAATGTCTTCAAACCTTTAAAATAACATTAGGGAGCGGTAAAAACAGTGCAAGAGCTTAGCTTCAAGATACGAATTTATGAATACATTTTTTAAATTTGCTTGATGAATGATAATAGATTTGTTGCTTTAGTATGCTTCTGTTCAAGGGTGTCGATTTGTATCCTCAGTTGGGGGGGGGGGGGGGGAGGGGGGGGGGGAAGATAGGTGCCAAAATATTTTCGGCAATGGATCAAAGCAACCAAGAGGTAGAGGCGTGTGGCAGGTTGCACCCCTCCCTTCCAAGTTTTTAAATTTTTCAAGTCACCCTCAATAAAGATAACATTTTAGAGAATATGGGATCCATGTGGGTCCCACATGCGCTTGCTACCTAGGTTATTATCCTATCAAGCATATAATCAGGATTTTATTTCAGGGGGGCGGTAGTGAGCACCTCCAAGGGGTTGGTGCAGGGAGGGGAGTTCCCCCCCCCCTCCCGCGCGAAGTGCGGCAGCTCTGACGCTTCATTAAATTATTCAAGAAAGAAGACGATTCGTTGTACCATTCTCGACTCTTAATCCTTGTCTGAATTCAGTTTCCCCCCCTCCCGCGCGAGGCGCGGAAGCTCTGACGTTTCATTAGATTATTAGAGAAAGAAGACGATTCTTTGTACCATTCTCGACTCTTAATCCATGCTGAATTCAGTTCCCCCCCCCCTTACCGCGCAAAGCGCGGAAGCTTTGATGTTTAATGAAATTATTAGAAAAAGAAGACGATTCGTTGTATCATTCTCGACTCTTAATCCTTGTCTGAATTCAGTTCCTCCCCCCCCCCCACTTCCCGCGCTTTGCGCAGAAGCTTTGACGTTTCATTAAATTATTAGAGAAAGGAAGACGATTCGTTGTACCGTTCTCGACTCTAAATCCCTTTTCTTCCTACGTCCTCTTCCTTATATCTTTCTCTCTCATTTTTGGGGGAGGAGGGAGGGGGCGACCACCCCCACCACCCCCTGGCTACGCGCCTCTATCCCCTCTGTCTCTCATTATCTCTCTCTCTCCCACTCTCTTCTTCTTTTTTGCACTTAACATTTACTAAGCTCGTTGCTTTTTAACGCTGCGGCTTTGCACTGATTTGGCGCACTGCATTTTTATGATGCTGTTGATTGAATAAATTGAATAAATTCACCAATTCCTGATGAAGCCGTATGAGCGAGAATTCAATTCATTCTTGTCTCATATACGGTCGTCTCATTCACTTCGTTTTCTATTTTTACATGTATGTATTATGAAAATGAGATAGCAAAATATGTATATTGATGGTCATCTTGCGAGTAATAACCATTAACTACTCTCATCGGGCTCTCATCATTAATTTTTTTTTGATGGTGAATTATTGGGGGGGGGGGGGGTGATTGTACAGGCCACCCCCCCACCTGAAATATTGGGGGGGGGGGGATATATCCCCCCCCCCCCCCCCCCCCCCCCCCCCCCCGGGATCGACACCCATGCTTCTGTTGCTCTCTTTTTCTTTGTTGCGATGATTCTATTGGAAACGGTCATGAAAATTTCAAGTCTATCTGCACTAGTTTGGCAAGGAGAGCTTGGACCACCCTGCGTGGTCACTGGCAGGTGGTTATCTCATCAAATCAATGCTAAGAAAAAGGGTACCGTGGGGGATCAACGGGTACCACTTAGGCATTGTTGGACGATGTATAGAGCCTATAGAGGGCACAAGTAGCTACACATAGTGCAGTCCTCCTTTAAAGCCTTTGTATGTAGTTATCTGCTTAAGAGAGTGGCTTCATGATGTAGAATATGTCCCCCAGAGTAAGGTTTTTGACTACCGTTCTTCCCTTCTTTATGGCTTGCTAGATGAATGACATTGCCTGTATAATGCTCTTTTTCTGTTTGCGTGTATAAATTTGTCGATACATTTTCATATTGTGCTGAACAATCTCAAGGCTTTTTGAAACATCTGCACATAGGATACAAGAACTCCTGCTTCAGGATACGTTGTGTGAACACTCTATTTTCTTGTGGGAGTTGCGTGAATTATTATAATTTGTGGCATTTATAAGGTTTATTTTCTTCTCGCTTTTATGTGTAATGCATGATTAGCATTTGATATGATATTTAATATGTTCTAGCATTCTTGAAACACCTGCAATGGGGATTGTTCTATACCGGTTTTATAGGCGGCAAAAATTCATTAATCAAGGAAGAAGAAAATGCAACAACAACAAAATCTACAAAAAAATTGATGCCGGACCATTTGAGTCTCTTTTGAAAGAGCGATCAATAACAATTGGAAGTGGTTACTTTGTTTAAATTCCACATGAAATTATACAAGTTTTTCCACATAATGGATTTGAGAAAAATCTGTTATAACTGATATTATCTTATATAATCGTATTACTTATATAACTTATATATTATCTCATTTTTTAACTATTCTTGTTATACATTCCCCACTCAATAGGAGACATAATTGTTCAATACTTGTGTTAGGCCGTTAGTGAATACGTTACGCTATCAAGTTATCGTTTAGATATGCCTCCTTTAATATAATAATTTTGAGCGATCTTCTGTAAAATTCTGTTCTTTAATCGGGTATTGTTCTGTAAGGAATGTTATAAAAATATTATATACATATCATATATATATATATATATATATATATATATTTTTTTTTTGGGGGGGGGGGGTAGGGGGAGGTCACATTTTTGGGGTGTGTTATCAGTTAAATTTTATTTTAATGTCAACATTGTAATATCATTATATCATGTACACGTTCAACGATTTATGTTATATCTCCGAAATGTAATTTGATATGTATGTTGCAGAAGTGCGCCTTGAGCATTTGATTACAGACGGATTCGGCGCCTTACAAATCTCGTATATTTTTTTCATTATTAACATTATTATTATTATTATTAATGCTGGATGTTTCCTTTTCCTAACGATCCATGCTCCTCGATTTCTCTTCGATTTTTCAAAGTCAAATGTATCAAAATTATTCATAGGGTTCAATTATATATGTTTTCATGTCCACACAAAATGCTTATTCATTTATTTATATCTATATTCATTTATTTATATATTTTCATTTTTTATTTATCTATTAATTTAGCTATTAAGTTATATACAATTTTGTATTAGTGTATTTAAATGTCAATTTGAATTTGAATTTATTCATTTCATATGCTCAAACGTATACAGAAAACAGACAATATAACAAATTAAAGAGATATTACATCTGTAAACAATTTTATAAACATTGTAATACAAGTAGTTTAATTGCATTTTTGGCAATTGATCACATTTGACAATTTGAATATTATTGAAGGTAAGACTATTTCTATGTGGCAATGCACATTGCACTTGACCTAATTCCGGAATGGGGTACCCGCACCCTTTCTTAAATTACAGTTCCCTGTTTCGAGAAATGTGTGTCCATTTCACTATAACATGCAACATTTTCCCTATCGAAAGGGGTAAGGGGTTAATCCCCTACCGGCCTAATTCTGCTCCCTAAAATTTCGATCGTCTAGTACAAGCCTGGTCTAGGACAGTGTTGCGGGCAAGCACTGAATTCAATGACCGGGGTAATAGTATATTTGTAAAGCGCTTAGAGACAATTGTATTAAGCGATATATAAAAGCTAAATACTATTATTATTATTTTTCAACCGGGCGGCCTCGAAGAGTATTTTAGTTATATTCATAAAAGTTTTTTTAGAATATCGTCATCCTCATAGAAACAAAGTATTAGTAACCGAAAAATGCCAAATTATGATTATAAACTTTTTGGTATTTTTGATGAAGAAGTAACATTTCAGAGATGATAAAGTGTATTTTTCCCTCGCTCGCTTCGCTCACTCGCAAAATTTAGAAACGGGATAGTTTCAGTCAGCGAGGTCCTCGAATATAACCATATTTATTGTATTTGATATATAAATGAAATTTATACCAAAACAAAGCGTCCCCCCCCCCTCCTGTTCTCTTCACTTCTCGAAAAAGTGATACATTGGGATGATTCCTGGCACCGAACTGACAGAATATAAAGCTTTTATCTAGTATCTATTGATCGCTAAATAACATTTGTGCAATAATAGAAGTAATATTTTTTCGCTCGCTCGAAATATTTGAGATTCAGATGATATACATGTCACAAAAGGGTATCATCGCATCGGCTTGGTTTCGAACTCAGGACCTCCCTATCATGAGACCGTCGCTCTACCTCTTAGCCATAATACATGGAAACACGGTCTATGCTTTTCCATAGCAAGAAGCTTGTGTTGGGTTAAAACCTGAGCGGTTTACATGAAAGATATGCATTATGTTATCTTTCAGATTCGTTGCTTGTCAGAGAGCTGTTGTGACGTCAACATTGATCAGACTTCGCCATGGGTGTAAAGACGGTGGCGATCATCGGAAGCGGGGTCAGCGGCCTGGTATCTCTCAAGCAATGTCTGGAGGAGGGATTCGAACCTGTGTGCTTCGAAAGAGAGTCGTCATTTGGTCAGTAAAGTGTTTTATCTATTAGATTAAGTAGTATAATATCGATATAGATTTGTATCTGATAACGTACTGTTGTATTTTAATAAGCTTGAAGGTGATTTTTTAAAGTATTCTTATTCATTAATGTTTAATTCGATTAAGGATTCGAATAGATGGATTATTAATGTACTGACTGTCTTCGAAATATGCTCGAAGCCACAGCAACAAACGTGTGCCCTCGGGCTGCGAGAATTGGTAAATTTAAATATCATCTGCTTCGAAACTAAAGTCTAGATCTATTGGAAAGATTCAAAAGTAGAAGATCATTTTCCAGATCTTTAGAAAAAACATAGGGCATTCCTGCTTCTAAGTATTATTTTTCAGTTATTGATATCTGTATTTGGCCTATGGATCTTCATTCATATACAACATAAACACAAGGAATACATATTAGATTCCTGGGGCACACAACATACATCTGCAAACCGCTATATTTGTATTATTATTATTATTTATTCGACAAAAACAAAGAAAATCATTGAATACAAAACAAGAGTATATTTGGAAAAGAGTCGCATGGATGCCGGGAAGAAAAAAGATTAACTAAATAACTGTAACCCGAAGGTCTTCTTTTTCTTCATCATGTACAGGCGGCGTGTGGATCTTTCATGATGAGCCTGTTAAGACGCATAACCGAGGCTCTCTTTATCACTGCCTGGTTCTCAACTCCAGTAAGAACATGACCAACTTCAGCGACTTTCCATACCAAAAGGCATCATCTCCGTACATCCAAGGAAAGGAGTTCATCAACTATATCAAGGTAAGTACGCAAACCTTCCATTGTCTAACAGGGGAGGGGGAGGGGGACTACGCCTTCACTGCATGAGAGAACCTTGAAAAGGCCGGAGGCGTCGGGATAATGGAAATAATGGAAATCAACCAACATCCCTTCACAGACTATCCGAGATCCGGCCTGTCTTCATATTGTTTAGCAGTGTGCTACTCAGTCTTTCAGTACACATCTATGATGATTATCCGAGTTAAAGATGATGGTGGTAATTCTTTTTTGGATAGCCCATATTTCATGTAAAGTTATGTTCCATACGTATGATCATAACAAACACAAGCTGAAATCAGAAGCATTATTCATTTAACGAAATATTTTACGTTCTAGGTAGCATTACATTCAAATATAAGCTGTACTAGAATTCCAAATGAAATATTGTGTATTGGACATTATTCTATATCGAAGACTAAAATTGCGAAGTCTTGTTTCCATGTTTATTCAGGCCTATGTCGATCATTTTGACCTCGAACGTCACATCCGGTACAGCACTGACGTGAAGCGCGTGGAGAAGGCCACTGATTATGACATCACAGGTCGGTGGACAATCACCTCTGCTTGTAACGGCGGGGAGGTGAAGCAGGAGACGTTCGATGCGGTGATGGTCTGCACAGGACTTTACTCCGATCGGAACATGGTGGAGTACCCCGGGCAAGAGGAATTTACGGGAGAGATCATGCACAGCAACGAGTACAAGAAGGCTGACGGGCTGGCGAATGGCAAGAATGTCCTCGTCGTCGGTAAGTATATGGTGGATAAGAATAAGGATAAGTTTAGGTATAAGTTGATAGTATTTAATAAGTGAAAATGTAAGTAAACTATAGAGGTATTGTAATACGAATATAAAGTATAGGCCTACATGTACCTGTATGTGTAAGTATAAGTACAAGTAACGTCTTAGTTCAAGATAGTGTAGATATAAGTGTAAGAGTCGAATATTATATTGCCCAGCTTTTAGTATAGAAACCCATTCCCAGCTTTTTCAATGGCCAAAGCCTTGGTAATGGTATACAGATTACCAAAAGACATAAAACTCATTTCCCTAGAATAATCCCTCTCTATAATTTATTAGTTTAGACTCATATTTGATTGATGAGCCTTTTTCATTGAAATGAGGATCGGTACTGGTACGGAGGCGCAACGGTATCAATTCGCTAAGAACGGTATGACATCGTCAGGACAGATTTTCTCGCCGTTGTTAATAATATATTGAGTGCTCCCGTTTAGTCCCGGCGATGCACATCGGCTTTATGTGACAGGCCATTAATCCTAATAAGGTCGGGGGGGGGGGGGGCATTATTTTTTCGATTGTTCGATCGGGAACGCACATGGATGGCGCCCCGCCGCTCGCTGAATTTTTCCTTTCGAGTCTTGCGCATCTTTTAAAAGTATTTATTTTGAAAATCGGACCTACAGTTAGAAGGTCATGTGACCCTTTGTCTTTGCATGTCAGCCCGAAAATCGCTCATTTTCGTGATTTGTGTACAAAACATACGGAAATGTCATTTTTCCTAAAAATAAATCAAACATGGGTTATTGGGTCTTGTTTAAAGTTTAGGTGGTTGTTTGGGGAGTCAAAGTAGTTGAATTATAGTTATAAATGAAATAAAACAACAAAAACAATAAAATACATAAGTTAAGAAAACAATGAAATACATAAGAAATCATCAAAACATAAACTGGCTCTTCCAATTTTTTTTGTCGTATTATTATTCTAAATGGTCTAATGAATATATTGAGTGAAAAAGAATCCTTAAATATGAATAATATATGATCTATGGGGGAAAATGTGATTTATGACCTTATTTGCATAAATCACCATAAATATATAAATAAGTAAATTTGACGATTTGGATAGAAAAACCACTTCTCGATAGATATACCACAGTTATTTTGTTCCCCCTTTGCTTATTGAAGGCTGCATTGAGTGCGCAGTATGTATTTGACTGGACAATCAAAAGGAATGAGAAATACTAAACATTTATCCTCTTATTTCCCTTTATATTGTGTTTTCAGGTGGCTCACATTCAGCGGGCGATTGTGCAGTCGATACAAGTCGAGTTTCAAAGAAGGTAAGTACAAACAACAAAATAGAGAGGTAGAATTTAATAAAATTGTTGGAAGAAATATCTTAATCTAACGACAAAAGATGTTTAACAAATAATTACCGACTATTCTCGCGCTGGGACAACCTGTCGTCGGGATAGGGAATATGATAAAAGCCCCCGAGATCATCGAGGCGATGATAGGTTGTCCAACCGCCAGAATAGGAGGTGATTATTGTGTTGCTCTATGTGCCACATGGACAAAACCTTTTCGACAAAAATGTGAATAATGAACACAAATTAAGTCAACACTAAACGCTTTTGCCCGCATATTACGCGGTATCTTTTACTTTCATTACGACCCTTACATTTTCATAATTTTAACAAACGAATTCGTTTTCACTGGGTGCCTGCCGTAGCAAAAAGCAGATTTGACAAAAGACTTAACTCCGTTTCGTTGACAATCAGCCATTCATGAAGACTCTCGTATACGGCTGATTTTCAACGAAACGGAGTTAAGTCTTTTGTTAATTTCGTCAATTGATACGGCAGGCAGCCAGTGAAAACGAATTCGTTTAAAGGTGAAATTCAAAGAAAATCACAAATATGTCAACGTATCACTAGAAACTGGTTGGCTAACAGATGGCCATCGTACAAGTTTGAGGTCAGCTACATATCGGGTGATTTATAAAAATAAAAATACAACCACCTCCATAGCAGCTGGGATATACGAGAGTTTTAATGACGTCATAACAGGGACCAATACTGCCCAAGCAGACGACATCCCATAAAGAATGAACATAATTGCAAAGCTATTATTTCTCAAATTATAATGAGTTTAGTGTATATAAATGTAATGGCATGTCAAACCGATCAAAAGGGGACATGACCCGATTCTGATAACTAAAATATTTTGCTTGTAAATACTCAGGATAGGGGTTAATTAACAATCAAAGAAACCAGACTTTCAAATTGAAAAGCCCCCGGATTGATATTAAGGACGGCAATGAATATCTACTTTAATACAATTATGGAAATGCAAGCACTACTTTAAACAAACAAGAACTTTGTCATTCTTCGTTCATTTTTCCTGATTGAGGTGTCATATGAAAGGGCAGAAACTCAACTTTCTAGAAATGTGAAATTTTCTTCGAAATTCAGATACCGCCCGCCAAATGTCTTTTTGGTTTCCTTCCTTCAAATTGCTTTTAATCACTTATGCGTGAAATATGCATTATCTGAATAGCATCACATGAAAGAGGAGACTCTAAGCTTTCCAAATATGTATCATTCATTAATTATAGTTGTGATTAAGTTATGATAAAACATCGATACTTCTCGGTTTCATTTTTTCTGGGACGCACTGTATAGCATCTAACTTAAACCAGGGAGGTGAAAGAAAGGAGGCGAAACTCTTGGAATTTATTCAAACGTATTCGTGTGTTCTAAAGCGTAACAATGGGATGTGTATCATTCCACTTGGCTTTGAAGTTCCATGCTCCGAACCACACTTCCACTGCAGGGACTTTCGGAAGCCAGGCACCAGTTTTACATTTATTACAAAATATTAAATTACCAGCAAAATTTCAGTGTAAATCAAAAACATTATATGGGATCGTATTGGGAATAGTGCATCAAACAGTTTTTCAAATTTAGTACTCCGTCCCTCCTATAATTTTTGTGCCAGAGTTGGTAAAAGAAAAATTACATCCTGACAAAAACTCAATATTTTAGGATAAAGCGTTAATTTGTGCATGTTTTAATGTCCCCGTTGTGTAATCCATGATTTACAATCTTCAATAACATTATTTAAAGTTTGCCAATACGTGTTTTCGCGTTTTTTTTGTATTTTTGAAGTTAAAAAAAGGATGAAATTACACAAGTTTGTGTTCGCTTGCTCTACTCTTTACACATTCAACAATGGATGAGACTAATCATTGAAAGGGACAGCGAACAGTTGCTGTGATACCATTTTCTGATGTAGGAATTCTAAATCCTGAAATTTCATGCGCTCTTTTATCTCACCACCTGGTCAACAGTTTGGCGCATAACTGTTCGGCGGCTTGGAGCATGGGGTCAAAGAAGAGCGGCATGATTCCAGTCCTTCTCTATCACGTCCCTGCTTAAACGGAGCTGAACAATATTAATTTGCGTGTGTAGGGCCCTGACAAAACACATTGTTAGTAAAATGACATTGTTCTAAAACTTCTGACTGATCATGCGTGTCAACTTACTCAGCTGCCCATGTTGACTACAAATAGAAATCTTTTAGATTGCACTCGATGATATACATGCATGCAGGAAGTAACACTATGAATATGATGGACAAAGACAGAGGACAAAATATACAGTTCCTCATTCTACCCTCAACAATTGCTGTGGTAGACAAAAGAACATCCCTTCACTGCTATTATGTAAAAATGTGTAGATCAGGTGAATAGGCATGTGACACCTGTTCTACACATGTTTACATAATAGCAGGGAAGGGATGTTCCTTTGTCTACCTGAGGAACTGTATATTTTATGCGCACGCGGCATATACTAGTACCGTACTAGATTTAGGAAAATCAAGGTTGACGCATTCTCGATCGCCGACTGAGACGACGTGACGCATGCGCAGTGCCTTAAAATGACGTCAAACGTTGCAGTCAACGCTGTCGACGTGCAAATCTAAAAGTCCCTATTGTCATCTCTAGTTGATACGTGACGTAGTGAACCGTTTCCTTCTTCTCCCTCTACTTACAGACGTATCTGAGCATGCGCAAGGGAACCTGGGTCGTCCAGCGGATGGGACCTGACGGAATGCCTCGAGATATGGCGGTCAACCGGCGTATCAACTTCTTCATCCCCGAGTGGCTCCGGCGGAAGAAGGTCGTCGACCATATCTACTCCAGGGTTAACATGGACAACCTTGGTCTCAAGTCTGTCAATAAAATGTTCTGCTCAGAGGTAGGCCATGTTTAGTTTGCTGGTACAGACTCTTATGTGACAATTAATGGGAGAATGAACATTGGCATATGGAAGTTTTTCGTGAGTTTGTAAACCGGCTGGTAACAAAGGCCCATGTTCCGTTTAATTAATTAATTGATTGTGGCAGCCAATCAGAGGTCTTTGTAGATCACACCCTGTTTTTTGTAATGTTCCGGTATGTTTTAATTCGGCTATCCGTTCAGTATGTCTGTGGTAGACCTGTTGTCTGTAGTAAGAGTGATTATTCTATTTTGATTAGGCTGATCCCTTTCCGACACTCTTAATATGACAGGAAAAAAGTTTTCACTCTGGAAATGTGATATCTCAGGACCAGTTCTTAACCCTGTTAGGATATTCAAAGTCGAAGTAGACCCATCCCCCTGTCGTTCAATCGGACTTTTCCGTGAGTTTAAAGGAATTATAATTTAACAGTCCCTGACACGTACTCCAAATCGAAATGGTCTAGCTAGGCATAGCCTTATTGAAGCCGTTTTTACCAACTTATAGAGCAATTTCTTCCAGCAGCTATTGTCGTCCTTTAAACAATTGCTGGTATTCTCATCATTATCACCTGTCTTGTTTATGGAAGCAATATTACCGGCTCATATACGTTTTCCAGAAACTGTTGATTCTTTTAAGTTAAACCTGAAGTCAAGACCTGTTTTCGAAAGCATACACTGATACAGTACGTGAATGTAATTAGGAATACATTTTCCATTCTTTTTTTCTTTCCTTTTTTGCTCTTCTTCCTAATTTTCATAATTTCATAACATGCCCCAGAATATTTTTACTAGATAATTGGCGCAATATGAAGTGCTTTATATTATTATTATTATCATCATTAAGAAATGCTTATCGTTGTTTGTATGATTCTGCCCAACAGGTTATGGTCAATGATGATATTGGTTCTAGAATTCTTTGTGGTGCAGTAGTGTGCAAGACTGGAATCGACCATTTCACCGAGAGGGGTGTGGTCTTCACCGATGGGACGAGCGTTGATGATCTGGACCTTGTGGTGTACGCCACGGGTTACCAACTCAGAGCTCCCATTGTGGACAACGATATCATCAGCGGTATGTACAGAGTAAAAATGCATGTGTATGTGGGTTACAGTGTATGTGTGTGGGTGCGGGTGGGGTGCGTTTGCCTGCATGTGTTTGTTTGTGTGTGTGTGTGTGTGTGTGTGTGTATGTGTGCTTGTGTATGTGATTGAGGGATCCGATTGATTTGGCACATACCCCGTTCTCATATTTCAAGTTTTATTGATTTATATTTAATATTTCTGGTTTTTATGCGAATTTCGGCAATCCTCTTTGAAATGGTGGTCACTGAGATTTTATGATCACTTTTATTTTATTTGCTGCTCCTTGGCTTCCTCCATGACTTTTCTCTATTAAATTGCGACCCACGAGTCAAACGATCCAATGAGCTCTGCCAGATTTTCAAGTAAATTGTGACAAAAATAACTAGTTTGGTACCGTAGATGCTACAGAGATAGATCCCTATATAGAACCCCTCCCCTCCCCGAAATTCTAGTTTGGTTTATTTTACCCAGTTTATACCCCTTTACTCCGAAACCTTCAAGATAAATTGTAAAACCAATCCTGACAATGGTCGTCAACTTGCATCATTTTGATGCTGTCGTTTTCTCTCCAGATGGTATGAAAGACTTGGAATTGTACCTGTACATTTTCCCACCTCGCCTGAAACATCAGACCTTCGCCGCCGTGGGGTTTGTAGAAACGATCGGAGCTCACGCCCCCGTCTTCGAGATGCAGGCACGCTACGCCACACGGGTCTTCAAGGGGTGTGCTAGCATCCCTCCCCAAGAGGTCATGTTCGCAGACATCAAGAGAAGAAAGAACTTTATGCAGAACCGGTTTGGAAAACCCAAGAACTTTGTAAGAAGAGATGTATAATCGTTTTCTCCTTTTCAAGTCCATAATGAAGTTGATTGCAAAGACTGAAAATTATAAGCAAGGGCAAATTCAAAAACTTATTGTATTCCATAGAAATCGTATGCATTTTAACGCGATGCGCCATTGTAAAGTTTGTACACTTTTAAAGATGTTGGACAAGGCTACTATCTTGTCTGGATATGATTTTTTGGAATGTCTTTGCAATCGTGTATATTCTAAGAATTTTTGAAATAATACAAAACAAGACACAATCGACAAAGATAATTTGTATGGCGTTATCTTTCCCAAATACTGTGAGATATTCAACTGGTTATCAAATAAAAGGGAATGATATTAGATCAAAGTTCACACGGACGTCAACCAAGAAATAACTTCAAAGACTTAGTTGAGAGAAAATTGAGCTAGCCAAATTATAATAATCACATTTAAGAATTGTTAACAATGAAAAACTTGAAATTACTTTATCCGGGTACATTTAAACATTTATTGGACATGGTAGTGGTTATTAATAACATTGATATTTATAATTGGACTTTAAAATCAAAATATGAATATGATTTGTTTTTAATTATTCTTTTCAGTTTCCGTCTATCCCGTACCAAGAAATGTTAGCAGATCGCATCGGTGCCAAGCCCAAGTTCTGGTCCATGGTGTTAACAGATCCTGTCCTTGCCTACCGTACTTTCTTGGGACCAGCACTCCCCTACACCTTCCGACTTGTTGGCCCCCACGCCTGGTCCGGTGCACGTGACGCCATTATGGACGTGTGGAACAACACATTCTATGCCACTAAGACCAGGATGGTCCCAAAATCCGCTGGAGGTCACGGAAGTCTCGATTTTGGTGTTCTGAAGTTTCTTGTGGTGGTTCTGGTTGCGCTAACCTTTTTCCTTTCGATTCTGTGTTGAATGATTTGCCTATTGATGAGGCGTCGTGGTTACTCCTCTATCATATTCTAAATAAAACCTAAAATAGAACAGGTACGACGCTGGAGGAGGGGTGGGAGGAGTAAACATTTACAGTGCGAGTCCAAAAAAGTTTTCACCTAGAAAATTGCTAATTATTTTAACAATAATTCATGAAAAGTAAATTATTATACATCTTATAAAAAAGTGTTTTATTCCAACTCATCTGGTATCATTTTTGTGTAGTTTGTGGTCACGCTTGGACGAACAGGAGACATTGTTTAAGAGAGTGCAAAAATCGACTTGCGCCAAATTGATGCCTATGTGATGTTCGAATAAAACAATTTGGATTTGGGTATTAATTCGGTCTTTGCAGATCCACACACTCAGTCAGTCAGTCAGTCAGTCATACATACATACACCCACCCACACACACGCACAAACAGACACACTTTCGTGCACTCGCAGAATCAGATAAATGAAAAATACACGCAGCCAAGTCATTATTACGTAATGAATATTTCTGTAAAATCGCACATTTCCCATTTAAAGGTAATACAAAGTTTTGGGAAATTTTGAAAATTGGGTGGATAGTGATTTTTTACAATTTTGATATATTTGGATGCCTATGTGGATGTATTATAAGCAATAGAAAATTTAGCCCCTAAAAATGTTCTGCTTTCGAGAAAAATTGAATATCAGAATTTACAGGTGCTCCCGGTAAATTTTGAAAAATTTCAAATAGCGCATATGGCCGTACAATGGCAGCTGCGACCATAAACATTTCAGGATATGTAGTTGTGAAATATAATTTCCAACGGGATTAGCTAATCGGTCGATCTTAGTCAAGAAACATTGTTTTATAGCTTAATTAACATCTTGACCTTGAGAGGGAGCTATAAAACATAAAGAATTTATTATTTACAATTTCATAACTTTAAACTCGATTTCAACCGCAACAACGATCACTGAATATTGTAGGATCGTATATGCTTCCAATATGTTCATTTGAACCAAATTCATGAACCCAAACCTTTGTATTTGTATTACTTTTAATATAAAAATGCAAACAATGCATCTGGTTCTTCCAAGCGTGACACATCGTCATCTATACATTTAGTAATAGACGAACATATGCTAATTTGCTGTACACTGTCTCTCTACAGTTTATATTTTCTCTTCCTTCCTACTATGTATACACTTTTTAGACGGCAGAGTGGTATAATTAACACGATAGCCAAGATTATCAAAGTTTTCTTCTTCTTCCTTTTCTTCTTCTTCTTCTACTACATTTATCATTTCTATTATCAGTTTAATTTTGTTATTATTATCATCGTTATCATCTTTAATAAGTTTTTTTTCTTACCTGTCTGAAAATAATATAATTTTAACTTATTATTTATTATTTATTTACTTATTTTCGACATGTATGTCGGAGACCCCACTGGAAATAAGCCCCACGGCTTTTGCAGGTTCTCTTGTTCAAGCTGACTTCATTTTGATCTGTTATTTTTTATGTTGTATGTTGAAGGCTCGGCGAATAAAATCAATTAATCAAAGGTAATTTCAGTATCCTTATATGTCACCTTTTGAAATGTTCGAACATAACAATAAAGAATTACGTATTCCAAAGTGGTATATATGTGATATACAATATAACATAGAAAATGTTTTGAAAATGCTCTCCGAGTTGATTTCTCGAAATATTTGCGATCGTGTTAATTAAATAATTAGTTTAAATATTATATTTGTATTACATTTTCAGTGAAAGAGCAGGATTAAGAACCCGTGAAATGTAGTGATATTAATGTTTACATGTTTTACCTGCATAATCGTGTCACGAAATAGCATAAGCATAACAATACAATTTCTGCAGTCGTGTTGTTATTCCTTGTGTGAATCACTCTTGGTGTAAAGTATCTAGCATGTTTATGTGTGTCTTGTTCATTTAAAAAACAAAACATTATGAGTGGAATCAAATTCCCTCCACTATTAAAGCTGCTCCATCAGTGGATGTTTTTAAGAAACTTCTTAAAACCTACTCATTTCCTATTTGATTCGCTATTATTTTTGTTTGTTCACTGTTATGTCAAGATTTGTGGTTATAATGTTATATTGCATATTATTGTAAGCGCTGTGATACAGTGTACTATGCATAGCGTAGCTTAATGTCTAATAATAATTATAATAATAATAATAATAATTATGGTCGGTCTGAGATATTTGATCGTTTGCGTACCATACTTTACCAAGCCTGTATTAGTGCATTATATATGAACATCGATACTGTTTCATTTAACTTCATATTTGGTCAAATAATCTGATTACAAGCTCTAGTAGAGGTTGGAAATTGATACAATCATCATGTAGTCGGTAACGTGGGGAAGAAAATCGCGTGAACTTGACCATTGCTTGTTAGTGGTCGAATCATCTTTTACACCCATTACATATTGACAGCATTAATATGTATTAATCATGCAAGGAATGTTCGGTTCTACAGAGTGCATCAAGAAACTGAAGTCAAATTTAAGCACGAAACATATTTTGGTGTGAACCTTTCATTTCTATTCTGCTTGTTTTGTCCCAGTAATCGCATGATTAAATAAACTTTAATAAAGTACCATATAGCTGTAAATTGCCTAATTTAAAAATATTTTTTCGACACAATAATTGGGGTGCCTTTATGGAAGATGCAAGGAGTTATTTTTTACAAAGATCAAAATTGCAGGGGAGCGGCGGCATTTGATATCGTTTTCACCTTTCCATTTTATTTCGGGCGGTTTCCCCCACGTTCCTCTGGATTTTACCAATGATCGTACTAAATATAATTACTTGTTTATGTTTATCTAAGATTTGCAATTTCGAACACCATGTGGAATGCCCAGTGTCCTTTTAATTATGTTCATACCAAATAATGTTTTGCGTGCTTAATAACAATGTTATCTGTTTTTTACCCACATTAAAACTTATTGAGAACCTTTCGCCACACTCATAATCCCCCTCAAACAAACAAAAGAAAACCGCACACTTACGAATTTCAAACACCATGCACGACGTAAATACACCAAGGTATTTTTTGTTGCAACTAATCCGTTTTAAGTTTTATTAGAAATTAATTTTAACGAGACCAAAAACGCATATACAATGATAAGCGTTTTTACAATAGAAGAATAACTTTCACGAACATACAAGTTATTTGAAAAGGTTCGTTATGGGTCACCATAAGACAATTTCGAAAGCAATCATTTATAGCTGTACGATTTTAAACGAAAACAATAATGATGATATTTACAATATCATAATATATACGCGATTTCTTGTTAATTTACTTATCATCAGTTATTTAACTGAAAAAACATAACAATCTATTCATAAGGCGTTCTAAAAAGCAATATACAATAATAAGCGTTTTTACAATAAAAGAATACCTTTCAAGAACATACAAGTTATTTCAAAAGTTTTAGTTATGGGTCACCATAAGACAATTCCGAAAGCAATCATTTAAAGCTGTACGATAGCGATTTTCAACGAATACAATTATTATAATCTTTACAGTATCATAATATATACGCGATTTCCCTGTTAATTTACTTATCATAAGTTATTTTAACTGAAAACCAAACATAAAATCTATTCATAAGGCGTTTCAGAAACGTAATCACGGCGAATTCCTTTCACCAATTAAAATAAATTGCCTGATATAATATTGTTAAAAACGTGAAAATGGTGTTGGAAAATAAAAGTCGCATTTTAATCTCGGCTCCAAAATCAGACAGGAGGGGGAAAGGGGAGCGAGAGAAAGAGACCAACAGAGAGACAGGGAGAGAAGGGGTAGGAGGTGGGGAGAGGGGGAGAAGGGGAGAAGAAGAGAAGAGAAAGAGAGAGAGATCTGCCATTGTCATTATCAAGAACACAAAACCTATTGATCTAACCGACCATACTGCCTATTATCGTGATTTCCATTGCCATGATTGCGGTTACTGCTCACATCAGTCTCGAAAGGTTTTAAGTCGAAGTCGATATTGCCATTTTTCTCTGTCATCTCCTGATCATCGACATCGAGTACTCCTCCCATTGTGGTCCCATACTCCTCGTGGATACCGTAAGCGAGCAGGCGGTCCTCGGGCTGGGAGGGTCCCCAGCTAGGATCGATTCGACAAAGCCGGCGAAGACGCTGCAGAGTCCAAAAATAGCGCTCATTAGTTTGTATTAAATACCCGATTTTATTACTTCATATTCATAGGTGATCGCTAGCAGTGTCCAAAGGTTCCCCCTATTTCGCATACCAAATAACATCGTCCATAAAATAGAACATCAGTTGCATAAAACATAATTATACAACTTGGGTTTTAAATGTAACCCTATCTTGTACACATTAAGACAGGCAACCTATTTGTCACGCGTACACTTTTCCACAAGACAATAGGCACCAATATTATTGACGGAATGATTGCTTTGCGAAATTAACCATTTTCGGCCTTTTCCTATTCCAGGCTGATCTTATGATGACAACGCTTTTAACTCGTTATAGATTCATATCGCACTTGAAACAGTTAAATAATTAATCTTGAAGCCTTTCGTACATTGTATATATTCAATTCAGCTGCACTTTTCAAAAATACGATGACCATTAATTAATTGATCATTTAAAAATAACAATACATGTGCCGGCTGGTTGTGCGTAATATAACCAACACGAAAAAGCCAACAAAAAAGCCAACATCTGCATTGGCTGAAATACAACGTAAAAGGCGCTATTTCTTTTTTTTTAATGGCTTTTTCAAATTATCGTCGTTATATTTATGGATATTTCAGCCGTCTCTGAACCGATTTTGATCAAAAAAGATGATTTTGTCATTTAAATTGTATGTTCTTTCAAATTTGACATTCAGTTTTTCATTATCTCACAAAACTATCCCTTTAATATAACATGAAGAGCAAGAGTTTGCAATATGGTGAATTATTGTTGAGGCATGAAAATAAAGTTTTTTTTAGATTAATATACCATAAATAATATTTCTTATAGTCATTGCTATTAAACAAACCTCACGAAATGACCCGGATGAACGCAGCATGTCGAAAATCGGAACACCTGGTATGAAGACTAGCGTACCCGCTATGAACAACCAACCAATCACGTGACACCAAGCAGGGAAAGGGCCGTTGTACTCTGGAAGCGACCAATTACTTATGTTATATATCAGGATGACCTACAAATACAAGAAAAGAAGTATCGTCGTTAATTTTAACGGAATCATGAGGGCGATCTCGCTCAATGTGTCCCGTATGACTCAATTTACAAATGGTATTAAAGGCATCGTTAAACAATGTTAAATTTGAGATGCACGACCCTACGTGTTATCAGTGTCTGTGATATGGTGTAATATTGAAGCCCTAAACAAATTGCGCTTTAAAATAATCAAGAAGTGCCTCAAAAAAGTAAAAATCTTTGAGTGACCGGTTTTACCATACTCGTTTTCCCCGGTAGACTGTAGTTTTATGAAAACCGTTAGGAAAACGCAAAATTTGGTTTCGATTTCCAATCATAAATATCTTGATAATCAGACAGGTGATCGGCTTGTAAAAGTCATGGGGTCTTGACTGACCTAAAGGTTTATAATTATCATTGCAGCATGAGCTAAATCCAGGATCTTGTTTCAGAATCTGAGACAAAGTTACCGGATCCCTTTAATGCGACAGAGCATACTATTTAGTGGTTATATCAAGTAACTCTTCACTGTTTCATGAAGTAAGTATGTGGAAAAAAGACGTAATGTCTTACACGATAGTGCGAAATAACCTGTTACAATTACCAATGTCCTAAACACATCCATGATATATCACAGTGGTTTGATTGTTTGGTGTTTTGAATGATTAATTAATGAAATTGAGGATTTGAACTTTTTGATTTTTTTTTTATATATTTGTAAAAATGCAAAAGAAAAAGAAAATCAAACAGAAATAAATAAATCAAATCAAATCAAATTTTAGACGTACCACCTTTACAAAATGTGTTATTTTCTTCGCCTTTTGATTTCGAGCAATTTAAAAGAATTGTTAAAACTTTAACAAGGAAACATCATCGGGGGGGGGGGGAGGGTGATAACATTGCTAAACTGGCTCTGGTTCAGAGTCTGAAATGCAATGTAGAGAACCAAGTTGGAATGCACTTAATGAAACTTTTGAATATTTTTTCTGTTGTACGACACATGATCCGGCGATAGATTGCTCCATAGCCACACTTTCAATATTTCGAACTTCAACCCTAGACTACATGTTCCACCAAAACCCGACGCAAACCTGCACATTATCCAAATAAACAATTGCAACCTGCAACCTTATGTCAAACCTTGAAAGTGACTTTTACTAATTAGAGCGGGTGGTCGTCGCCGGAGCAAATGTCAGAGTACCTTTCCTTTATTTTTACCTGAATTACACCAAGGACAACGAACATAAAGGGTACTTTTCGCTTCATCGACATATTAAAAGGTGTACAGGATCAGGAGACCATAACTAGGTCCTCGTCAATGAACGAAGATCCAGGAGACAAAAGGTTCAGGGTCCCAAAACACAACGCTTAGCAATTCATCGTACGATTTACTTTTGCGATTGATTGCACATAGTGTTCAATGCAGTCAGAGCAAAGGTCAATCGTATGATCAAGTGCTAAATGTTGTGTTACAGGCCCCGGAACACCAAAGATCAATGTTACGAAAGGATCCTGGACACCAAAGGCCCGGCACATCAAAGGTTCAACACATCAAAGGTCCAAGATACCTAATGTTTGGGTCTACTCGTTAAACGTCTGATCAATTAGTCTCAAAAGAATCACCAATTAAACCATTAAGACTGAGGAGCGAGACAAAGGTGCAAGAAAAAAAAAATCTCGTTCTTGTGGACTTATGATCATCCGGACTAAGACATGACAACGCAACTGCCCGAACCATTTTCCTCTCCGCTCAAGGTGCTACTTCTTTCTGTGATGTTTTGCAGCTATAGGGTCAGATCAGGGTTGGAGAGCCACCCAAGAGCGTCATCTGATACAAGATGCCTCCTGGAAACGTTATGAGATGTTTAAAGACACTTACCACGAGTATACCCGGTGTCACGACTATCCAGCATATTTTCCAGTAATAGAATGTCCAGTGGTTCACAGTCTTGTTTCCCAGCATGGCCCTTATGTCATTCTTAAGGCGGTCGAAGCCATAAACCCAAGTGAAGGAGATCGGAATGGCGATTCCGGTAACCATTGAGATCCAGCCAGAGGCGTAGCTGTCAATGAGGGCAACCCAATACGGCCCGGCCTTTATCGTAAAGAAAAACAATTAAAGGATTAAAATTTAATCTTAGCGTAGAACTTTATTATAAGAGTTTTCTCAAAAGCATAATAATATTGTGATGTGAAACCCAATAATCATATTTGGTGAGATCTTGGACCTTTTTAATGACTACGTAAAGCTGTACCAGTCACACACGCGCGCACCCGACACTCACACACACACACACACACACACGCACACACACACGCACACGCACACACGCACACACACACACGCACACCCAAACTCACATGCACACACACACACATACGCACACACACACACACGCGTACACGCGCACACACGAACACACGCACACACACACACACACACACACAACGTACCCTTATAACGCTCGTCACAATCAGGGATCTTTTCAATCGTGTTTTTTAAATCATTTAACATTTTATTCAAGATGTTTACTTCACAAGAGGGGCTTAAAATTATTTAGAGTTCCAGTTTCTTAGTAAGTTCCTCATGTGCACCTGTCGTAAGCGAATTGGCCTGCCTTTTAAATGTTATAATACTTATCATTCCATTTAAAATTCAATAGGCCTATTGTGACAAAAATACTACTTTTTCTCAAATTTGTAGGCACCTAGACCTTGCCCTGGCACGGATAAGTGTGAAATAATATTATCATGATTATCATTTAGCTGTTTTGTTTCTGTTGTTGTTGTTGGTAAAATTTTTACGGCGTTCATTCAGTATTGAATATATACGCCATAAATATCTTCAATTTTATAAGAAAATCAGTTATAGTCTTCTTAAGAAAACTGAGAATAAAGATTTGTAATGAAATAATTAATTGATAAGTAACGCAATTTATTAGGAGTCTCTGGATGGTTTGCAACTTCGTGTTTCTGCTTTTTTAAAAAGTTTAATCTGGTCAGCCCGGTTTCGTTTTTGTTTCTGTATAGCAGTCAGTTCGGGTCATCGCATGGCTACTTCCCAATATCTAGCAAAAGTAAGAGCCACGTCGTAGGTCTGTACTCTGTCGGGTCCCTCTCGGTGCATGTGTCATCCAGCATGTCACAGCTCAGTAGATTTTGTTTTAGTACATGGAAATATATAAAATAAAAAAAACTTGGAACTGGACTCTTAACTTACGTTCGTGACGTAGGAGAAGCTTGTGAGATATATTCCAAAACAGATGAATGCACATACTGAGACCCGCCATCTTCTTAACCGCGGCATCGCATCCAAAATGACAGTTACCATCGCTTCAACGCATACAAACTATCGAATAAGAAGAAGACTTGAATTAAAGGAAAGTTTGCCGTGAAATAATAATATCAATAACAACACTCAGAATAATACTAGTAATAACGATAACAATGATAATAAACAATAATGATAATAATATTACTAAGAACAACATAAAAAGGGCACAATAATAATGATGATATTGTTAGCAGCATAATTTTTCAATGACTTTCAAACGTATATAAGCAATTTACATATTAAAAAAAAGCCTTGGTCTTGTGAAAATGACAGGTGTTTTTCATCAATTTCTGTTATAGTTTCATAAAATATCCATGGGACTTTGTTCTTTTACTTAAAATGTGATTTTTTTTTGTTGATTTTTTTTAAAATCATCTATTCTGGGTCGTTCTTCATATTCAGTAACCAAAATGTTTTTACTAAAAATTCGAAATGAAAATGATCGAAAAGACGAAAAATCAAACGGTAAAAGAAGACCTGGTAAAACATGAGACAGGATGAAATGATAAACAGAAAGAAAAGGGAAAGTATAGCCACCTGACTGTCTAGTGCTAGTAGGAAAATCATAAAGAAGAATAAAGCTGACCAAACGGGTGCACCAGGAAACTTAGCTAAGGCTGCAGGACAAACCACAAAGACAAGACCAAACCCTGGGGAGGAAACAGACAGGAATATCGTTGAATCATCATAGAATAATTTCAATCAGTCAAAGAGTCAAGAATCAAAGTCATTGAAACCCTATCGAACATTTTATAAACATGTATCTAATATGTCTCTCGCCTTGTGGCCGTGCTCAAAGGAAATATTCAAAGATTAATTTTGTTTTGCTTTTTTTGCACTTAGTCTTGCTTTCGTTTTCATCATTAGCTGTAGTTGTTATTGGTATGACTGTAAAAAGACCATCACTAATATTAAAAAATTAATGTTAAAAATATGGATAAATGCTGTCATTTTTCCACACTCATCGATGAAATATTCTTCTTTTTCATTTTGCTTCAAAGTTCCTTCTTTGTGACGTGCATCATCAGCCTTCGACCAAAAACATTCTGCGCCGAATAAAAGATGAAGACATAATAAAATACAGAAAATATGTACAAACACATAAATCTGACTAAAATGACAACTGGAATGTGACAGCCGAGAAACTTGACCAAGCTTTCGTATAGATTAATGTTGGATTCTTGAAGACCTACCTCCTTTGACGACCTCTTGTACTGGAACTCCAATCTGCTTTGCCATGTACCCTAAAATGGCAAAGACAGCGAACCCGCAGTAGAGGCTAGTCAAACTGTTTCCAACGGCCACGATCAACGCATCACTACAAATGGACACAATAACGTTAGCATTTGAAAATGACTTGTGTCGGGCTGTCGGCCAACTGGTAAAAGAATGGCAGATTTTTCAAAGTAATTTAGCCTAATTATTTATGAGTTTAAAATCCGCCGGCTTTAAGTCGCCTCCAAATGATTTGGTAATGACGATTAACACCTTAGTAAATCAGACGTTAATTAATAATAATAATATTCCGCTTATATAAGCGCTTAATACAAATGTCTCTAAGCACTTTACAGATATACACATGAATGTCAATATATTTAATTTTTTGTCCGGTTTAAGCTATCAGTTTGGTACATTCATCAGATATACTTAAAATCAATCTCGGGGCCCTGTTTCATAAAACATGTTATTAATAACAAGTCACAATAAATGTTGTAAACTACTGAAATCGTGGCATTAGATTGGCTGAGAGCAACTTTGTCATAGAAATTTAGTTTTTTTTTAATTGAGAACATGTTTTACAAAAAAGGGCCCTGATGCGGTCTGTAACGTAGGGGGCAAATTACTTCTGCTGAATTTGAAATTTGTCACCTACCTGACAAACGTATTGTGGAACCTGTTGAACGAGGCCATGGTAGAAAGACCGCCTCCTCCTGCGCCTGATGAGAAGAACACTTGTTGAGCTGCATCCTTCCAAGGCTGAGAAAATGACAAACAGATAGGTGTTCCGAGGTTTGCTTAACTATTTTTCTAAGTATGATAATAAATGTTATCTGACGTTTATTTCAAAGATAACCGTTACTTCTAATTTACATATCAGGACAGATGTGCATACAAATAAACTTGTTGTAAGTTTTTGAAACATAATACACAAAGTCTTTAATGTTCAGGTACAATAAATCAACATGCCATATAAACAAATTTATCCTTAAAAGCGTGACTCGGAAAACGTTAATAGGTAGGAATTGTTGTAATAATAATTGTGAAATTGTAGGGTAAACTTGAAATAAAGATATGTAAAATGATAATAAAGATATGTAATTATATGATAATAAAGTGAGCATTACCAGTGGGTGTACAATCTTACTCCATGTAGGTTTCACGAAGTAGCGAATTCCATCCATGTATCCGTCCAGTGTTACAGCACGTATAAGCAGAGCTGTCATCATTACATACGGGAACAGTGCCGTGAAGTACACCACCTAAAAAAAAAGAGGGTTGTTGATGTAATCTCTATTCCGATTTATTTCCAGTTTTTAAAAAGATATTTCTATAACGATAGGGAGTCACACTATGATTATGACGGACAAAGAAAGAGGACAAAATATACAGTTCCTCAGGTAGACAAAGGAACATCCCTTCACTGCTATTATGTAAAAATGTGTAGAACAGGTGTCACATGCATAATCACCTGTTATACACATTTTTACATAATAGCAGTGCAGGGATGTTCCTTTATCTACCTGAGAAACTGTATATTTTGTCCTCTTTCTTTGTCCGTCATGTTCATAGTGTCGGTTAAGTAACCCAATTGGTAATTTGGACCACACTGAATTCACCCATTATGGATAGTTGTTGGTGAAGAAAAAACTACGACAATATACTACGTGCCTATGAGCGAAAGCTGCTGATCCATGTGTATTCTAAGGAACTTCCCAAGTGGACTGGGACAGAATGGCAAAAAGAAGAAAGCTCTGAACAAACATAAAAACGTGTCTCATAAACCTTTTGGCAATTAGTCTGACGGCTTACAAGACTATCAAGTCCACTAGATCAAAGGTTCACTAGAGGTGCGATAGCTCAGTTGGTAGAGCAGTGGTCGGCCATCTGGTTACTTACTTACAAGCATTTATGCTTTCTTAGCAGTCAGGTACAAAATAACCACCAACAACTTACTATAGATCGCGCTTTCTTGACCATGTGTAGAACTGTGTAGAACAGGTGTCACATCACCTGTTATACACATTTTTACATAATAGCAGTGCAGGGATGTTCCTTTATCTACCTGAGAAACTGTATATTTTGTCCTCTTTCTTTGTCCGTCATGTTCATAGTGTCGGTTAAGTAACCCAATTGGTAATTTGGACCACACTGAATTCACCCATTATGGATAGTTGTTGGTGAAGAAAAAACTACGACAATATACTACGTGCCTATGAGCGAAAGCTGCTGATCCATGTGTATTCTAAGGAACTTCCCAAGTGGACTGGGACAGAATGGCAAAAAGAAGAAAGCTCTGAACAAACATAAAAACGTGTCTCATAAACCTTTTGGCAATTAGTCTGACGGCTTACAAGACTATCAAGTCCACTAGATCAAAGGTTCACTAGAGGTGCGATAGCTCAGTTGGTAGAGCAGTGGTCGGCCATCTGGTTACTTACTTACAAGCATTTATGCTTTCTTAGCAGTCAGGTACAAAATAACCACCAACAACTTACTATAGATCGCGCTTTCTTGACCATGAACCTTGAACAAGTAGTAGTCTGATGGTTAAAAAAAACTCTCAGTCAAGTGTAGATGGGTTGTTGCCCGCTTCTCCGAATAATCATGAGCAGATGATGTCACTACGCGGTCGGGAGGGGTTCTAGAAAAAAGTATTGGGGGCTTTTCACGCTTTTAGGAGATGGGGGTGGGGAGGGAGGGGCTTGGTTCTTGCATTCATTTCCTACATGTGTCTCGCGAAAATTGGGGGAGGTGGCTTGAGCCGTCCCCACCCACTAGAACCACCACTGGCCACAGTTAGTGCTGGTATTACCTTGCCAGAAGTCTTGATACCTTTGGCGATGATGAGGAAAATGGCAACCCAGACGAAGAGGTTACAGAGAGCGAGCTGCCATACAACACCACCTGGTTTCTCGATGCTGGACGACTCCCGTAACAGCTCGTTTCTGGGTCGGAAAAAATGGCTGGTTTCAGTCTTTAGAAAAGTTCTAAAAGGTTTGATATTCGTCCGTAATTTCACAAATAAATACCAACTATGTATTCATTGGAAATTAAAATTAATCATGATAGGGAACAACTTAATGGTTGAGATCTTTGTAATACCAAGGTGATCCAAAAGACATCATACGTGTCGCTACTATATACACAGCAAAAAGGGAAATACGACATTGTTTATTGTCCAGAATTTTCAGAAAAAAATGTATCACCACCAGATGGCATAATGGGCAAAAATGAGACAAAAACCCGGAAAATCATGTTATCAAATAAGAAATAAACCACGATTTTATTTTATTGGGGGGGGGGGGGCACTGTCCTCACAACATCCCCCTCCCGTCAGTACGCCAGTGGTCAGGCAAATGGCGCCTCGGATGCGAAGGGCACTATATAACTATGTCTATAAAGGGCATAATACTTACGTCCAGTATTCCTCGCTTGGTAGAACGCGCATGTTCTTTATAGGATCCGTATAGTTGCTGAAATCCAGAAAAGTGTCGTTAAAGACTGTGACATTGTATCCAGCAAGTTCTTCATCCGACAGCAGAGTCACGTTGGCACAACTCCCATTGGACATTATAATCCCGTCTTGATTAAGGCAGTCGTCGTAGAGATCGCTGCAGTAGAGCGTGTTCCACTTGTGACCACACCCAACCCATGGCAGGTGAGACGTCAAAGAGGCGAAGAAGTAGTAGATGGCATAGGATATTACAACATTGTAGTAGCCGTTAGCAACAAAGAATGACATCATCTGACAGTATCCAATCCCTGATGAACAAAAGAATGAATGCAAAATATTCATCATTTCGCTATCTCTTACTTAACTAGAATGTCATACATCACACTTAATAAGGTTGGCGAGACCGAAGGTCCAAAGGGGTCGGTCTCGTAGGCCTTCTAATTACTAATAAAATCGCTTTCGATGAGACCGAATGTCCTCGGGATCGACGGTTAGGTCTCATTTCGATCCAGTAGGCATTCGGCTTTCTTGAATTTTTTCAAGTGGACTTTATAACGAAATGAAGAAATGAAGATCGTTCTGTCACGAAATTGATATTTCCTTTTAAACAATTTTATAGCAATTTGTACGAGATTGAGACTTTGACATTTGGCGTCCCATACAATAATGTAGGTCTATGGAGTCTTAAAGGACTAAAGGACTTACCTCTCATGATTGGTAATGCTCGCCATATCTTGGCAAAGTTGCTAGAGCTGTACTGACCAATGGCAAACTCCAGAACGATCAGAGGTATACACACGAAGAGGAGCAGTGTGCAGTAAGGTACCAGGAATGCACCTGTATTCAAGGAGAGGAAGAAAGAGAGAGAAAGACAGAGAGAGAGAGATAGAGATAGAGAGACAGAGAGAGAGAGAGAGATAGAGAGAGACAGAGAGAGAGACAGAGAGATAGAGAGACAGTGAGAGAGAGAGATGTATATATATAGAGAGTAGAGTTATACCTCTGACATTTTTACCTCAGACATTTTTACCTCTGACATTTTTACCTCTGACATTTTTTCCTCTGACATTTTCACCTCTGACATTTTTTCCTCTGACATTTTTACCTCTGACATTTTTACCTCTGACATTTTTACCTCTGACATTTTTACCTCTGACATTTTTACCTCTGACATTTTTTCCTCTGACATTTTTACCTCTGACATTTTTACCTCTGACATTTTTACCTCTGACATTTTACCTCTGACATTTTTACCTCTGACATTTTTTCCTCTGACATTTTTACACCGAGCCATGCTGAGTTTGAATACGAGATGAATACCGAAATTCCGAAATTATCATAAGTAACAAAACCAACAAACTTCTCCAATTCTAATTGTATGCATGCTTCTTGAACAATTCTTACTCAGAAGCTTGCAATGTATGTAATCTATAAAGATGCCATTACTTATAGCAGGTAAATTATAAGATAATTATACTGTTTTCACACTGGCAATATTAGCTTAACCCCGTACTATAGGTGGGGTTAAGGGGGGAGGGGTCTCAGCCCCACCTATAGTACGGGTTTAAGGCTATTCCACTTTCTGGCTTTTACCAAAGTGGGCTAAAGTTGGCTAACCCCACATATAGTACGGGGTTAACTAACCCTGCAAAATAGCAGGGCTAACCCCGCAATTGCGGTGCCAAGCAAATGAATGAGAACAAAAACGAAAAATAGTCCGGTACTACGCAATAGAGCGTATTGCAGCAGGCCAAATGCGAGGTAGTTCAAATCATAACATTCACGATATCCGGGGTTAACGAATTGCAGTGAGAAGAGCATGAATTTTCTTATTCCGGAATAGGCGCTAGTACGGGACTAAAAACATCGTGTGTGAAAAGCCAAAACAAATAATCCGTTGTTAAGGATAGTACGGGGCTAAGCAAAGTACGGGGTTAAGCAAAACCAATGTGAAAAGAGTAGTAGTAATAAGGGTTATGAAAAGAAACGTTTATATATTGAAATTAATTAGTAACCAGGTTTTTGGGGTCAGTAGTCTACACTAACTGAACTCTCAACTGGAGATTGAAATCCAATAAATATAAGCTGATAATTTTTTGAAAAGATCGAGCCGAGGTATTTGTTTTTAGTTCATCGTGGCTGTGTCGCTGCCTGGCAAGCAATATATGACAGGTTCAAATCCCGCTCGTTCCAGGCCCAAGTTCTTTCTGACTTGTTTTAAATCACGAGATCGAGCACACGGTCTTTATTTGCTGGGTGCAAGCAACAACAACGAACTTTAAAAAAATGTATACATTTCTCTCAGGAACCCTAACATATATTTTTTTAAAGTGAGCTGATAATCTTATTCAAAATTGTCACCCATCTTTAGATTATTCTTATTTGATTGAAAAAGTGATGTCAGCGTAGAACATAATTCATTATACAACTCACTCCCAGATCCTAGTCAAATGATTGGTCATGCGCGGTCACGTGTGATTCAATTACTGAGCCTATTGCACTCGTTTTCATGAAAAGGAGTGCAATATTTTCCAGTACTATTGAACTCGTTTTCAGAGCGCGCAGGAGTGCGCGTAGGGGTTAGAGCGCTTAATACTGTGTGTGCATGGGCCTATTCTTGCGCAGCACTATGCGTAAATGGGTGTAGAGGTAAGTGCGCTTGCTATATCTATATACTTATGTGTGCGCACTAAATTGAGACGTATTAAAACTTGAGATTTATTTGTCAGCCATATACTGTCACGAAACAATCTTGAATTAATTTTATTTACATCAAATAACAAGGATCTAGGAGTTTCGTTGTATAAAACAAATGATGCATGTTTCCTTTCGTTTATTATACGATCTATCCGCCCTCGTTGATGCTGTGTGTATCTAACGGCTTCGTGCAATAGATACACAGCCTCAACTCGAGTGCGGATAGATCGTATAATGAACTCATGCGCATGCATCATTTGTATATTGACCTGCATAGAATGGACATGATGTTGCGTAATGACTGGGAATGGTACACTAAGAGCCATCGAGGCAAACATCAACCATCTTGTTACTCTAGCATCTCAAACAGGTGAAATCATTTAACAGTTCTATGTACGTCTTTGGGCATGTTTACACAGCAAGGGGGACCGTGGGCGGACCGTGGATCGCGCTATCGTAGCGCGACCCACGGTCCGCGCATTGGCATTCGCCGGTGTGACCGCGCCGTTTGTCCTACCAGTTTCGTTTGTCCGTCGGACATAATATGCGGGTTTTCTGCTCGCACGGATCGTCCGAGGGACGATCCGTGCGGATTGCTATCCGCGCAGTCTGTCCCCCCATTGTTTTACGTGTATATTTGATAAAAGGAAGAAACTCGGCAAATCAATGTATTTAGACTCATTGTAAATCATGTGGTTGGCATTTTTTCTAGAAATTACATAATAATAACTCTCTACAATTTTTTAAAGCAAATGGGCCAGTCCTTTTAAAAGTAGAAGTGAATATTTTCTTTAAAACATTTATTCTATGAAGGCATACTCGTGATATTGGCCCCACAATTACTGTTGTAATCGATTGTACGTGGCTTCGTACTTACGGTCAGATGAGCATATTTTAATACCATATTCATGACACTGGCAGGTCACTAATTGGCGTATGGTCCAAGGGGCGGAGCCCCCGGAAGCGCAGGGGTTTTAGGCATTACAATTAAGGTCAGATTAGCATCCAGGGGCCAGCCTTAGGGCCCAAGATGGGGTCCAGGGGGCAGAGCCCCCGGAATTAGCTTAGGGGTATGGGCATTTAATTACGGTTACATGAGCATACTTTCTTTTCTATTTCTTTCTATTTAATTCTCTTTAATATACTTTTTCAAAAGTGTGGGGGTAGGAGGGGGGGGGGGGGGGGGGGGGGGGCTTAAGCCCCCAAGCCCGCCGTTCCGCGGGACCTGACATGTCGGCCTCTAACTAGTAAATAAGCACATTTCTTGCCTGACTGTACATTGTGATATATGTCATTCTCCAACAAACGCATAAAAAGTATAATTTACTAAAAAGCGAGGAAAAATCCCGGAAAATTAGGCCATTTCAGCAACATCTGTATATCACTGGTCAAATTAGAAAAAAAAAAATCACTTTTAAAGTTTATATTGGTGGGGGGGGGGGAAGGAACTGGCTGAATACTTACACCTATGGTGTCGAGGGGCTCTTTCTTCATTTTTTTGTTCGGTAATAAATAAGGTTAGTTGTGTGGGTGTCACTCAGGCGCGGATATACGGGGGGCGATGGACCCGCCCCCCCCCCTCCTTGAAAAAATAAGAAAGGAAAGGAAAGAAAAAAGAAAGGAAAGGAAAAAGTAAAGAAAGAAGGGCTAAAAATACGAGTTAGAAGTAGACCCATCAGGGCACTCACTTATCCGTATCAGGAGGAAAAATACACGGGGGCTCGGGGTTAATTAGCCCCCGAAATGCCAAAAAGAGCCCCCGAAAGTCATAAAAGTAACCCCCGAAATGTTTAAAGTATTTTTTCTCTGATCCGTATATAGGAAAAGGCAGCTAGCCATACTCCGATATTTGGGTCGTTTTCCGATCAGAACTAGCCCTAACTATCATTCCAGGATTTTTTGTTTCAGAACCTAAAACAAAGTTACCCAATCCCTTTAAGTTTCAAAAAATAGACTTCATTGAACTGTAATTAGGCTTAGGAACCGGGGGAGGGGATTAGGGGGCACAGCCCCCCCCCCCAAAAAAAATATTGGGGGGGGGGGGGGGCTCAGAGATCATTGAGCCCCTCCCCCCTCCAATATTTTTGGCGGGGCTTATAGATATCATTAATTGAGCCCCCCAATCTTTTGGTGGGGCTTAGATATCATTGAGTCCTTAGGGGCTAAGATACCATTGAGCCCCCAATATTTTAAGTGGGGCTCAGATATCACTGAGCCGCCCCGAGACTTATTGCGGGGCTCGGATATCATGAACCCCCCTCCTCCCCAATTATTATATTCTAGGCATGAAACTCATGTATACCTATAATCTACAGACGTACCATTCAAATATAAACATTTTATAAATATCTATTTAGGGAGGAGAGAGGGGGGCTCAGACATCGGATCTCGCATATCATTGACCCAAAAAATATATTTGGTAGATCTCGGATATTATTTAAACCCCCAAATATTTTGGAGGGACTCTGATATCATTGAGCCCCCCCCCATATGTTGGTGGGGCTCAGATATCATAAGCCCCCCCCCCTCAAGTGTTTTTGGTGGGGCTCGGATAACATCACGGAGCCCCCCGATATTTGTGTGGGGCTCGGATAACATCACGGAGCCCCCCGATATTTTTGAGGGGCCCGGATATCATTGAGCCACCCCCCCCCCCCCCCCCAAAAAAAAAAAAAAAAAAAAAAAAATCGGCCGGGCTCGGTTATCATGAGCCCCCTCCCCAATATTCTGTTCGTGCTGATGAGTTGAGGGAAGTGTATGCCGGAGATATTGACTTTGTAGCATTAACTCGGCAGCTAACAAGCCTCCAAGACGTGTGCGACGAAGAGAGTAAACCTATCAAATATACATTAAAACAATCTGTGAGATTTTCAACAACAGTCCAATCTATAAGAGATCATTCTCAGAGGTGCACATCCTTCTTCTCATTTACCTTACAATCCCGGTTACAACGGCAACTTGCGAGAGAACATCCTCTGTCTTGAAACGGATCAAAACTTCTCTGATAAGTACAATGACCCAAATAAATCTCAACCAAAGCTAAATATTACACATATATAAATCTCGTAAAGATAAACTGAACTTGAAAACTATTGCCCAAACTTTGTTTCCAGGAACACAAGAAGACAAAACTTCTTTGG